TAATTCAAGAAAATTGCCTAGAACTAAAGGAATCTGGTTCAACTTAAATGGGAAACAAAAATTACTTACAAAAAAAAAAAAAAAAAAAAAAAAAAAAGATAAATAAGCAAAACTGATGAAATATGAACAAGGCCTATGGATGTGCCAATGTCAATGTCTTGGTTGTGATACTATTCTACAGTTGTGTAAGGTGTTACCACTGGGGGAAACAGGGTGAAGGGTACATAGGACCTTTCTGTACTATTTTTTCCCCACTTTCTGTGAATCTGATTTTTTTTAAGTTAAAAAGAAACTCTCCTCTACTATTTGACTACTAGTGGTATAGTTTAAGAAAGGTAGGATAAATGCTCAATTCTTCCTTTATTTTTACTTAGAATAATGAATTGATGCCTTCGAATCCCCTAACAGTCTTGCTCTGTTGCGTGGGCTATAGCACAGCGGGGTCATCGTAGCTCACTGTGACCTCAAACTTCTGGGCTCAGGCGATCCTCCTGCCTCAGCCTCCTGAGTAGCTGGAACTACAGTTATGCGCCACCACGCCTCACTAATTTTTTCTATTTTTGGTAGAAATGGGGTCTTGTTCTTGCTCAGTCTGGTCTCAAACTCCTGAGTTCAAGCAATCCTCCCGCCTTAGCCTTCCAGAGTGCTAGGATTACAGGCGTGAGCCACTTTGCCTGGCCTTATAATCACATTTTGAAAAGTGAAAATAACATGTATTTTCCTTATTATTGAATTAATAAATGTTCTTTATGACAAATAGAAAATTATGCAAACAACATCTTAAAAATTACCTATAATCTTTCCACTTGGAGAGAATCAAAGTTAAACCTTTGCATCTATCCTTCCAGATTTTTTTCTATACATACACACCATTAACTTTGAGAAGCAAATGCTGTTGATATTGCTCTGAAATTTGCTTTCCTCACTTCTTGAAGTTGGAACAAGATCATTTTTGTTTTGATTAACATAAAACCCCACCGGAAGTGGCATAAACAATATATATTGTCTCATATAACAAGATCCAGAGGGAGGCCAGTTCCAGGATTGGCTCATTCACTGCCCCAACAGCGTCATTAAGAGCTCACAGGCCTTCCGTGTGTCTGCTCCGCCACCCTCAGCATGTTGGCAAGGTCTTCCCTCCTGGTGTCCAAATGGCTGCAAGCAGGTCAGGCATTACATCCTCATTTAACTGGAGGCAAAGGCCAGACAATGGGAGGAGGATGCTTCCCTTCCTTGAGTGTCTTTTTGAGAGTGAGGAGACAGTTTTAGAAATTCCCTAAGACATTGTTTCATACTCCTGCCTAATAAGGTCATAGGCCCATTCCTCAGCCAATCTCAGGCAGGTAGAGGGAATGACCACGAACCGTTTGAACTGAGGATGGGCTGTCCCCTTTGAAGCGTATGGTCTCCCATTACACGAACAAAATGGGTTTTCGTATGACAGGACGGCACAGGGAAGAAGAAATAGTGGTTTGGGGGGAACCAATAGTTCTGTCGCATTAGGAATTAATGTGTTTAAGAACTAGTATGGCCGGGCGTGGTGGCTCACGCTTGTAATCCTAGCACTTTGGGAGGCCGAGGCGGGCGGATTGCTCAAGGTCAGGAGTTCGAAACCAGCTTGAGCGAGACCCCCCGTCTCTACCAAAAATAGAAATAAATTAATTGACCAACTAAAAATATATATACAAAAAATTAGCCGGGCATGGTGGCGCATGCCTGTAGTCCCAGCTACTCGGGAGGCTGAGGCAGTAGGATCGCTTGAGCCCAGGAGTTTGAGGTTGCTGTGAGCTAGGCTGACGCCACGGCACTCACTCTAGCCTGGGCAACAAAGTGAGACTCTGTCTCAAAAAAAAAAAATCTTTCATTATTGGCCAATATTCTATAGTTATTTATCTAGCAATTTGCTATTGATGGGCAGAGAGATTGTTTTTAATTTTTCCTAATTATAGATATTGCCAGGATGACAATTCTTGAAGCCAAATTCTGGTGCACGTCCATTTCATCCTCTAAGTGCGATTGCTGGGATACTTTCAGGCTCTCATAGGTGTCACCACATTGGCCTCTGGAAAGTCTGTGCCAGCGGGCCCTCCTGCCAGTAGATATGAGTGTGCGCTTCATCTCTGTCACAAAGTAAACCAGCTGCATTTTTTCTGGCCTTTCTTTTTTTGGTAAGCAAAGGCTTATTTTCTTCCCCATTTACGTCAGAGCGTTAGGCGGCAGCTGCCTGTGTGCTCAGAGGGTTCCTGGCCCTTCTCTCCCGGGTACCAGGCTGGTCCCATCCGATGCTGAGACCCCAGGTTTGCCAGGTGGCCTCCCTGGGCAGGGGAGTGTGGCCGATGCCTGCCTGCTGTCCTGCAGGTCCCTAAATATTCACAGAGGACTCCCACTTGCCAGGCACTTACTGTCACCTGGGGCCCCAAAGTGCCACATTGGCCCTGACCCCACTGCCCTGCAGATCTCCTGGACCTTTTCTAGGCCAGAGGCAGAGGGCTGCGTCCCGTAGGGGCAGGGGGTTGCCTCCCAGAGGCAATGGGCCCCCTCCAGGTCAGCCTCAGCTCCCCTTGGTGCCCCTGTGGAATGAGTGGGGGGTTGTGAGCCCTCAGATCTGCGCGTGACCCTGCCCCTTCCCCAGATGTCTGGACTCTAAGGAGAATGTTTTTTTAAGGAGAATATTTCTTACCTCAGTTGCTCCCCCCTGAGAGTTTTTTCTAGCAGTCTAGAAAGTTGAAGCATGAGTGAGAAATACGCAGTCGCTCTGCGGGCCCCAGCCTGGCCCCCTTGACTGGGGGACTCCCTTTGCGCCGCTGAGGCCACATGTCAGTTACCACTTGTCATCACTCCTGCAGTTCTTGTCATGGTAGAGAATTATTTCTCAGAACCTGAGTATGCATCAAAAGTGGGCAAAGGGGAGCCCGCAGAGGCCTCAGGAGCCCCCTGGGTGGGCGAAGCCCAGGGCTGGCAGGGACTAGGAGACTGGCCCTTGCCTCCTGGCTGGGGCAGGACAGATTCTCCTGCCTGGTTTCCTTTTCCATTACATGCATTTTTGGTTTGTGCCTGTTACCATAAGCAGCTTGGATGCCTTCTAGAAATACGTGCGGGTAAAAATAAACTCATGCCCCAGACTTCCCACACATAACGTCACCTATCAGAGGGTGTGGACAGGCCCCAGCTCCTGTAGCAGTGCCGGTTCCCGGTGGCTCCCACCTGCAATCCCAGCACTTTGGGAGGCCAAAGTGAGAGCACAGCTTGAGGCCAGGAGTTGAAGACTGCCTGGGCAACAGAGCGAGACCCTGTCTGTACAATAAAATAAAAGGCGTGGTGGGGCATGCCTGTAGCCCCAGCTACTCTGAAGGCTGAGGCAGGAAGATTGCTTGAGCCCAGGAGTTCAAAGCTGCAGTGGGCTATGATACTGCACTCCAGCCTGGGCAACAGAGGGAAACCTGTCAGAAAAAGAGAAAAGTTCCCCCTTTCACTCTCTGACGGAGGCCCTGCCAGGGACTGATCTGTGATCCCAGGTGGCCCTGCCGACTGGCCAAGAACTGGACCACCGAGCCCGGAGGAAGGGCTCGCTGCACCTGTGAGGAAAGGGTGTAGGCCCGGCTGGGGGCTGAGCCCACCTGCCTGGCCTCCTGTGCTCCTCCCCGAGGGCCAGAGGCTGGACTCAGACTCAGGCCCGCCCGACTCAAAGATCCTAACCACTGCATCCCAAGGGCTGCTGGCCCAGAGAGGCTGGGAGGCCTGTGACACAGTCAAGGCTGGGAGTGTGTGACCCGTGCAATCGCAGAGCCGCCTGAACACGAAGACAGAACCAGGCTCGGATTCAGCAGCACCCACTTTTATTTCTAAACAAGCATCCAGCATCCAGTGACATGACTGTTTCCCACCATTTGGGAATCCTCTGCCTGAGATGACAGCTGCACGGGCCCATCTCTGGCCCACCTTCCCCCCCCACCCGTAGCCCTCCAAGAAGAGCAGCCAACCACTTCTCAGGAGCCAGGCCCCCACATGCCTCTCACATCTCACTTGGGGGAGACTAAAGAATAAGCCTGGCCTTCCCAATGGTCCTTAAGACAAAACAAAGAAACCAGTGCTTTTAAAAACCCTGCTTTTACAAATAAAACAAAAAATTACAGGATTTTGATTAACCTTGAGAAAGTATCAAGCCTTTGCAGAAGCCCTGCTTGAAGAAAACGTTGACAGCCTTTGGTGGCAGCCACGGCCACCCCACTGTCCAGTGTGGAGTCCTCCCCACCCCTCTGCGTGCAACCTCGCAGGGGCGATGGCGCCTGCAGGGCTGGCAGGTGACTTTTCTTCTGTCCACCAGTGCACACCTTTGGTGCAATCTCAGGGCCACAGGGCCCCAGCCGCGCTGCCCTGAAGCCAGCCAAGCTCGTGCAGAGCTGCCTCCCCGGGGACTGCGGTGGCCGGGGTGGGACGGTGCAATGTGGGTAGGGGATGTTAGAGTCTGCCTTCTTTTGTTACATGATCGATGACATGAAGTCTTTGACATCTAACTGCATGTCTGGGAAGTGGCAGGAGCCTCACTGGAAGGGAGCCAGGCTCCTCATTCCTTTACTTCTGACTTCTGCCTTTACTTCTGACTGCGACTTTTCATTTAAACACCTCCCCTAGGGCTCTGGAGACTGGTCCCCAAGAGCAACTTCTCAGTGATTCTGGCTGCTGTGTCAGGAGCGTTTCAGATTTGGTTTCCTACCCACCAGCCAGCAGGGGAGACATCTGCCAGCATTTTGAAGAGTGGGGGGAGGAACAATTTTCTCTTGTTTGCATTTAAAATCCTAATCAAAGCAGATAGCTAGATTCTTTCTCATACTGGAATCAGGGAGAGTATGACGCCCAGAGCCACGCCAGGCCCCACCTGCACCTGGCCAGCCCCCTGCCTGCCTCCCTCCAAAGCAGCGGGGTCCCGGCGTTAGCCACCCTGCCGAGGATTCTGCCAGGCGTGGGGCCCCTGCGGGAACATGGATTAGAGACTTCATGAGGCCACACCTTGCTGATGGCACCTCTCACGAGGGTTTTGAGGTGCAGGATCCCCACTCACCCATCTTTCAGCCTTCGATGGCCCACAGAGGACACTACCGGCAAATCAGGGCCTCTCTGGGCTGGCTCAGGGCTGTCCCTGGGCCTCATGCCAGCCAGGCTGGGCACAGCCAGCACTCCCACTGTGAACAGGGTGGCTGCCCTGGGGCAGGAGGACTTCAGGTCTGCCCCGGGAGGAGAGTCTGATGGAACCTCACCACCTCACCTGGCCTGGGCCCAGCCCACTGCAGAACTTCATCTCTGAGGCCCTAGGAGCAGCCAGCTCCTTTCCGCAAAGGCCTCACAGCTCAAGTTGCAGGGGACATTTGTTCCGAGGGTCCTACAACCAGAGTTGCAGAACGCATGCAATTTATTCCAAGCGGCTGTATGACATGGCAGAGCCTGCTGTGGAGAGCTGCCGGGGAGCCCTGGCCCACGGGCTGAAGGGCTGAAGGGCCAGCTTCCCCGCAGCGCCGCTCGCTCTAAAGCACATCCTCCCACGTGCTAGAGCGCTCCTGTCCTGCGGCTTACACCTAAAAGAAAATGCATATGTGGGAAGGTATAAACTGCACACTTCTATTTCTTCCATCCATTTTACTGCCCCAAATGATTATTGGGTATGTTAAAGGTAGACAGCAGCAAGTTTTGATTCTCAGGCAAAGACATTTGAAAAAAAATCCAACAGAAAAATAGACTTCCATGACCTTTTACTTAGGGGCTGCTCTCTTAGGAGTGCTCTCCCCGGCTGCCAAACCCTCACATAGTCAGCAGGGGGCAGAAGAGGTTTGTGGGATCCAGGGCGAGCTGGTACCTTCCCCACCCCCACCCTGCAAAACCTGGTGCCCCTCCTTCAAGCTCCAAGTGCTCTTCTGCTACAGCACCATCAGCAAGGCATGGCAGGTCAGAGCTAAAAGTGGGAGGCCAGGTGCGAAGTGCCTTAGGCATCAGAGCCCAAGGGGCAGTCTGAACTGAGAAGATCTGACTCTTCATTGCTTAATCTGTGAATTTAAGATTAGAGAGAAAGAAAGAAAGAAATCCTGGCAAGTTACTGAGTTTGCAAAGCAATTTACATCTGTGAGATCAGACCCTGAATTTCAGGAGAGAAAGTAAATGAGTTCTGAGCTGGGGTGTGAGAACAATCCGGCCTCAGATCCCTGCCCCCACCCGGCCACTCTCTCAAAGAGGCCACTCTTTGACCTCCTTTGCACTAAAAGGAAATGGAGACCACCAACATTAAGCAAGGCATGGGCTAAAATTATGAGGTTAAGATGAGAGATCATAAAAAGATCATATTTTAGCTCTATCAAGTAAAAATTTACTTTTCAAGCAATAAGAGCATATCACAGCTTCCTGCCCAACTGGCCTGCTCTGACAACTTCGGGGGCAAGGCAAGGTGTACGGGAGGGGCCTGGCCTCTCATGCCTGGCACGAATCCTGGAGGGTCCTGAGCTCAGTCCTTCCTAACATCCAGGGCCGTGCTGCTGCCTGAGGCAGAAGAGATGGAAATGCACCTGCTACCACAGCAGCCCAGGGTCCACGCTGGCCCACGTGGGACCAGTGTGTCCCCAGAGAAACAAGGACATGCAAATGACGATTAGACCACTCAAGTGTGCTGAGTTCCAAGACTTCAACTGGGACCTGGAACCACATATGAAAGTTGTTAAAGGCCCTCAGGAGGGCAAAATTGAGCAGTTATGAGGCTTGTTAGACGACAGGTGAGGAGAGGATGGGAGTCAGTAACTCCGTTTCATCTGGACATGATTGGCAGCTCATCACCTGCAGACGGCTGGGAGGTCGGAACCCTGTGACGGTGCTGGGTGAGTGTGTGCGCGCATCTGACCCCAGGCCGTGGCTGGGGTCCCACGTAGGGGTGTGAAGGGAGGAGGACCACGTGCTGCTGCTCTGGCCCTTGCCCCAGTGCTCTGGGGACCTGGGAGCCTGGCATGAGTGACAAAAGAGACGAAACATGTAGGGCAGTGGGAGAGGGGAAAGAGGATGAACCCTGATTAGCAGTGAAGGTGCAGCAGGTAGCTGGTGAGCACACATTGCAGAGCCTAGGAAAAGGGGCCTCTGGCTGGACAAGTGAGGCCCACCAATGGGGAGCCCTCATTACATTTTGTGGAACAGAGGCGACCCCGCTTCACATAAAAACAAAATAAAAAAGAACCACTGAGTAGGCGAATTGCAGTGAGGGAGGAATCAGATGGCAGGAGGCAACTAGTAGGCTCTCACTCTTTGTTGTAACAGTGCAGGAATTTAAACTGAATCAAGACGAAGGTGCCAGCTGCCACAAACCCTGTACCTCTAGCTTTTCCCTCTAGAGGGCGCTCTGACCCCACAGATCAGGCTCTCTCACCCCCAAAACCCAGGGTTGCAGCTTCCTGGGGCTCTAGAGAAGACACTAGAAGGTACCAGTGTAAACATTCAGAATATGCCCAGAGAAGGGCAGCAGCTGCCTGCCACCCAGGGAGACAGGCTGTGAGGTGCCAATCAGAGGTAAAGGGAAAAAGGTCACTGGGTGTTTTTCTCAGGGAGTGCAGGAACTATCACAAAGGGGGGCGTGAGGTCGTCAAGATTTCTGGGCTGCCACTAAGGTCAGAATGCTGCTGCTGAGCGGGAGGCACCTTGATGGCTCCCACCTGCCAGCACAGAGGCCCGTCCCAGCAGGGGCTGTGATGAAGGCAGTGGCTTGCGAATGGCACAAACTGCAAACAAGTGCTCCTCTCAGCAGGCTGGGCAGCAGTCCTCCTCTTCCAGGCAGGCACCCAGCCTGATAGGTGACTGCTCACCTGGCTGCAGAAGCAGAGGGAAGTGTTCACCTAGGACAGGTGGCCACTCCAATCTGGGGGCCGAGAAGCAACACAGAGCAGAGAGGCCGGCTCAGTGAGGAGTGGGGAGATGACATGCGTTTCTGAAGCCAACTGGCTCCAAAGGCCTGGAAAGTTCCAGGTTGAGAAGACTCTGTGGCCTCTACTTCACCCTGCTTGCTTATGTCCTGAAGAGGCTGCCAAATGCACGCACCTCCGGGAGGCCCCTGCTGGGTGTCCGCGGGCGGCAAACGCCCATCCTGCGTCCTGCTGCCCGGAGCCTGGGCGCCCGTCACAGCAGCTCCTGCTCGTCGTCCTCGGAGCCGGAGGGGCCCTGGCGCACCTCCTCGTACCACTTGTTGGTGAGAGTTTTCATCTGGATGCGCCCGTGGTGGAGGTCCTGGGGCGAGAGACACAACCAAGGCCCCGTCAGTGGGCCGGGCTCAGTGGCAGGGAGGGAGGGGAGGCTGCTCTGTGCCAGCTATGTGGCAGCGAACGGGGGTGCAGGGTGGCAGGGTGAATGGCCACAGGCAATTTCGAAGTGTTAACTGACTCACTAGGATTTTTCTTTGTGGGGTGGAGACAACAGTAGGGTCATTCAGAAACGGGGAGGAGGCAGGGTGGGGTGGGTGTGAAGGGGCTGTGCCCAGTACTGGCTGTAGGACCCTGGGGGCTCCTTCACGTCCCTGGCCCAGTCTCCTCAGCTGTCCCTGAGATGACAGCTGTATCTACTGCAGGGGTCGGAGGATGAAGGAAGCGCTGGGTGCAGTGCCTGGCTCCCAGGGACACTCCCACACTGCCAGCCATCCTGCCTGCCCCAGCACGGAAGACGGGGCTCAGGAACAAAGCGGCGGCAGTGGAAGAACCCTCCCCCAGGCCCTCATCTGTAAGAGGCTAGCAGTGCCTGGAGGGTGGAACAAGAGACCCAAGATCCTTGGGCCCTTGCCTGAAGCCTCGGTAATGTCCAGAATCCCTCAGCTCAGAGTCAGTAGCCGATGGATGTCCCAAGTCTGTCATCCGGGAAAATCAAACTGCGTTAACAAGTCTATTATTAAACTGGCGCTAAATATGGCCGTGAGGGAGAAACGGAAGACGCCAGGCTCCGCAAGCACGCCCAGCCCGAGCCGGCGGCCCATGCCAGCCCACGGGAGCCTTCCCGCCTCCCACTCCTCCTCCCCCCAGCCTCGGCCCCTGCAGTCCTGAGCGAGGAAGGCAAGGGGCCCCTGGACAGTGTGGCGCGGCCATGTCCCACCTCCTGCGTCAGCCTCCGCGTGAAGAAGGGGTTCAAGTACTTTGCGTCCAGCCACATGAAGCCTTTGAGGTCCTGCCGCCTGATGTAGTGGGCTTCGTACTCCTCCTCCGTGAGCTCCGACAGGTGCTCAGACTCGATCGTGTTGCCCTGGGCGGGGGGAGAGGCAGCCAGATGGCCGTGAGCTGGCACCAGCAGGCTGGCCTCGTCCCAGAAGCCCCCACAACACCCAGGCCGCCAGTGTGCACCAGTGCAGGGTGACACGGGGAGCCCAGGGGTGGGGGTGGAGGGCGGGAAGGTTTGTAAGAACGCCATGGACTGCACCCAGGACACCTAAATCAGAGGGTCTGGGACAGGGCCGGGGCTTCCTTTATTTATTTTTGAGGTCTGGGCAGTGGGCGCACACCCAGACCAGGGGCTTCATTTTTAAACTCTCCAGGTCCTGGTAACGTGCAGCCAGGCTGGGACGCCCGCTCCGGGCTGCGCCAGCACACCCAACAAGCAAAGCTCCTTTCATGGCTTTGGCTTGTGGCTCCGCCAGCTGTGGGCACGCTGTGGGCGGGCTCGGCCAATCCCGCCAGCACAGGACGGGATGGAAAGGACTCCCTGTGAAGAGTGAGGCTCAGGCCACCGCATCTCTGCCCGCAAGGACGACCAGAGGCGAACGGGATGGGAACACAGCACGCTTACTGCTCTGCTAGAGGAACCTCAAGGAAGCCACAGTGAAGCGTGTTCTGCCACAGTCAGCTGGACCCCACCTGGACACCTGGCCCAGTGGAGCTGGTGCAGGTTGGGGGAGGAGTGGAGGAGGTGCTGGAGGGGGAGGGGAGGGAATTTTGATGCTGTGGAGCCCAGGTGCTTAAACTCCGGCCTGCATCAGAATGACCTGGAGGGCTGTGAAGCCCCAAAGTACCAGGCGGCCAGATGCACCTGCAGAGCTGTTGATTCAGGAAGTCTGGGGTGATGCCCAAGAGTTAGCATATCTAACAAGTTAACAAGTTCCCTGTGATGCTGCTGCTCTAGGGACCCCACCATGGGGACCACTGGTGGAGAGTGTAGTGGTGAGGACCGCAGGCCCTCGAGTTGGTGTGAGGGCAGCTGTGCGATTTGAATTCTCTGTGCCTCATCATTGTCATCTGCAAAATGGGTTTAATGAAAGCACCTGCTTCCTGCAGGTTATCGAGTCAACCTGAGCTAGTCCAAGGAAAATGCAAGCACACTGACTTGGCCACAGAAAACATTCCAGAAACACAGCTCTTCTTCCTCTGAGGAGACATCCTGGTTTGCCTAGTGCTATGGTTCACCAAGTGTGTTTGCAGGGTCAACAGTGATGTGACTACAGCACCTGGCAACTTGTTAGAAATGCAAATTCTTGTGGGCCCCACCCCAGACTTATGAGACACTAATGGTGGGGCCCACAGCCCGTGTGTGACAAGTCTTCCTTCCACCCATTATGACACCCACTAAAAGGTCTGAGAATCTACAGCTACAGCTCTAACAAACAGGAAGCCTGGCATGGTGGCTCACACCTATAACCCTAGCACTCTGGGAGGCAGAGGTGGGAGGGTCGCTTCAGCTCAGGAGTTCAAGACCAGCCTGAGCAAGAGTGAGACCCCATCTCTACTAAAAATAGAAAAAGTACCTGGGCATGACAGTGGGCACCTGTAGTCCTAGCGACTCGGGAAGCTAAGGCAGGAGGATTGCTTGAGCCCAGGAGTTTGAGGTTGCAGTGAGCTATGATCGTGCCACTGCACTCTACCCAGGGCAACAGAGAGAGACTGTTTAAAAAAAAGAAAGCTGGTAGATTAGGGGTGAGGGAAGAAAGGACTTTGAGGGTGAGAACAGTTTTACAAAGGTCAGGATGAAGGCCATCTGGAACTTTCCTCCTAGCAGTACTGCACTGGCTGAAGGGCCCAGCATGGAGGCTGAGGCCACGAAGCCCTGACTCTGCAGCACTGGGAGTGGGCGGCCACATGAGGGTTTCTGTACCTCTGATGACTGGTGAAAGCTACTGATGACCTCAAATAAGGGAACTAGAAAAAGATGCATTTCCAGAAATGCCTGGGGGTGGGGCTGAGAGCCCAGAGCAGCCTCTGCTTCTTCGAGGGAGCCTGGCCCGGCACGGGGCCCTGCGGGGGCTTGAGGAAGCAGAGTGGGCTGGGGCACTGGAGCCTCTGCTGCCACCAAGGCCAGCCCCAGGCACTCAGCCCCACGCCATGCCCTCCCCTATCCGTGGGGAGGTGCCTCTCTGTGGCCCTCGCAGCCACTCCGAGCACTGCCTCAGGCCCCCAGTAGGAGGTTTTCAGTCAATGTTGGGGAGCGATGGGATTTTGCCACCTTCTGATCCTGGCCCAGTGGGCGTCTTGGCTGCTGGCAGGGCGGAGGCGCTGCTGGGAGGGTGACGCAGGCCTGGGCTCCTCCAGCACCTCACAGAGCTTCAGCGAGGGGAACAGACGGTGACAGCCCGCAGCCTCTGTGGCTTCAGCAGGTCACAAGGTGGCAGACACCCCTCCCCAAAGAGCCATGCTTCAAAACTCAAGTTCCACCACCTCCCTCTCAGGCCGGGCAGCTGGCGCGTGCGCACCATGTGTACGTGTGGGTCTGGGCGTCCCCACCGCCCCGTTTCCTGGCAGCCAGCAGGGACCAGCCAGGAATGCAGCCGGCCAGCCCTCTGCACCCACCCCCGGCGTGTCCCGCACTAACCATCTTCTCTGTCTTGCTGAGGATGACGTCCTTCTTGCTCCTGCGGCGCGCCTTGGCGTCCTCGATGTCCACGAGGCGGATGAGGGGCATGGTGCTGCCGCCCAGCAGCAGGATGGTGAAGAGCACGATGATGATGGTGGTGGTGCCGATGAGCTGCCGCTTCTCCATGGGCTCCAGGTCCAGGTGCAGGCTCAGGGCATAGGGGATGGCCCCCCGCAGGCCTGGGGACAGTGCAGGGAGTCAGAGGAGACAGGGAGGGGCAGCAGCTTCACCCACATGGGGATTGGGGCTGGCCATGCCCCATGGCCAGCTGACCCTTCTAACAGACGCAGGGGAGAGCGGCCGCTGGCTCCGGGGGTGAGAAGGTCAGGCTGCAGGGCAGGGGGAGCGGGCAGACTCACCTCCACGCCCACCTGAGCAGATCACGAGGTGGCCCGTCCTGACTGCAAAGCACCCGGCGTGCATATGTGAGGATTTACCAAGCCTGACACTTGCGTCTTAGAAATCACAGGATACCTGCCATGGGCCGAGTCCCCCTGTGTGTGTGCCAGGCCCTGTGCTAGTGCTTGGCATGCATGGCTTCTCTGGATTTCCACAGGAACCCCTTAAGGCAGGTCCTGCCACCCCCCAGTGCACACACAGGGGAACCAAGGCCAGGGCCACACAGCCGCCACAGGCAACAGCACAGGATGTGGCCTGTCCAGCCACCCTCGTATCTGAAGATGGTGCCCCTGTGTGGTCCCTGCTGGCACCAGTGGGGCTCTGGGATGCTCTGGGCTGCTGAGAGGCTGCTGGTCCCCCGTGAGGCTGCTGGGTGTGACTGAGGGGCACGGACCAAACTGGGAAACAGCACTTCCCCGTGTCAGACGCTTCCCTGGTGCCACAGGAAGGGTGCAGACAGTCCTAGCCGTGTCCGCCCTTTGGGCTCCCAGGGCAGCTGGGAGAGCAAACAAGGACTTGTGACATGGTGCCAGAAAGAAAAGGGAAGGGTGGGGGAGGGCAGCCTCGAAGCTGAAGCCGCACACCACGGTGGGGGGATGGCTGGGCTGCCATAGCAGGCCAGACCCAAGAGGGGAGATGGCAGGGAAAGAGGAGGGCATGGAATTCAGAAGGACGTGGTGAGTGACAACTCAGCCTCTCCAAACCTCTCATAAGGGCCAGAGGATTAAGTGGCCTGGCACATGGACTGTGCTTAGAACAAGGCGTGCCCCAGCAAACACTTTGTCAAGCTAGCCGGGTCGCAATTCCCATCAGTGTCCGCTGTGGCAGGGAGTGCAGTCTCGGACCATGGGCTTGTGATATCTCCACCACATCCAAGCAGGCAGAAACAGGAGTTTGCGTCCCAGAAGAAGGTCTGGGCCAGAGGGAACAGCTTTGGCATTGAGGCAACTAGATGGAAGTCAAGGCCAGAGGACAGATGAGCTCACTCTGATGTGTGCAACACAAGAACAGAAACGGGGCTGGCGCCAAGTCCGGAGGAAGCCACTATTTGGCAAGCCACTCCTCCAAGTCTGGAGGAAGCCACTATTTGGGTTCAGTAAAGGAGGTAGAGGAGGAGGAGCCACATGGGAGCCTGAGGAGACTCCAGAGGGAAAGAAGGGAAACTGGGAGCATGGCCCAGAGGCCAGGAGGAGAGGATAAAGGGTCTGCAGTCTGAAGGCAGGTGTGAAGATACATGTCCTAAGCATGTCCTTTGCCCCCTTTAAACCCAAGCTTCACCCCCCTTCATAGCACTGCGGAGAGGGTATAATTTCTATTTTTTTAAAATTTGTGGAGACATGTTTTGTGGCCTAGGATGTGAGCAATCTTAGAGGATATTCCATGAGCTGATGAGAAGAACATATATTCAGTAGTTTCGGGGTAGAATGTTTTGTAAATGTCTGTCAGGCCCATTTGTTCTGGAGTCCTGTTTAAGTCTATTGTTTTTTTCTTTCTTTCTTTCCTTTCTTTCTTCCTTCCTTCCTCCCTTCCTCCCTCCCTCTCTCTCTCTCTCTCTTTCTTTTTCTTTTTTTTTAGACAGAGTCTTGCTTTATTGTCCAGGCTACAGAGTGCTGTGGCGTCAGCCTAGCTCACAGCAACCTCAAACTCCTGGGCTCAAGCAATCCTCCTGCCTCAGCATCCCGAGTAGCTGGGACTACAGGTATGCGCCACCATGCCCAGCTAATTTTTTTCTGTATATATTAGTTGGCCAATTAATTTCTTTCTATTTATGGCAGAGACAGGGTCTCGCTCTTGCTCAGGCTGGTTTCGAACTTCTGACCGTGAGCAATCCACACGCCTTGGCCTCCCAGAGTGCTAGGATTACAGGCATGAGCCACCGCAGTCGGCCCATTGTTTCTTTATTTTCTGTTTGGAGGATCTGTCCTGTTCTATCAGTGGGGTGTTAAAGTCCCTGGTTATTCCTATGCTGCCGTTTATCAAGTAGGATTTGCTTTATGAATCTGGGTGCACCTCTGTTAGCTGCACAGATATTTAGGATTGTTATGTCTTCTTGTTGAATTGTTTCCTTCACCATTATATAATGACCATCTTTGTTTTTCTTTACTTTTGTTGATTTGAAGTCTATGTTATTTGATATAAGAATGGCTACACCAGCTTTCTTTTGGTTTCCATTTGCATGGAATAGTTTTCCATCCCTTCACCTTGAGTCTGAATGAATCCTTGTGGGTTAGTTGTGTTTCCTAGAAACACGCAGATACTTGCCTTATATTTTTCTTATCCATTCAGCTAGCCTAAGTCTCTGTGTGCTCAAGTCATTCACATTTATTGAAAGAATGGGTATGTGGGATGGATTTCTGTTCATCCTGTTGGGTAGAACCTTACTGCTTAGTTTTACCTCTTGAGCCATTGTGGTATCTGGGCTCTGAACTTTAGCTTTTGGAGTGTTTCACACTGGTGGGTGTCTATTGTGCTGATCAGTGTGTAACACAGACCTGAGAACTTCCTGCAGGGCAGGTCTGGTGTTGACAAATTCCCTCAGTGTTTTTCTCAGACAAGCAATCTTTTTCTCCCTCATATATGAAACTTAATTTTGCAGGATACAAAACTAGGCTGGCCATTATTCTCTTTGAGAAGACTGAGAATGGGGCCCCATTCCCTTCTGGCTTGTAAGGTCTCAACTGAGAAGTCTGCAGTTAGTCTGATGGGTTTTCCTTTGTTAAGTTACCTGACACTTTTGCCTTACAGCTTTTAGAAGTTCCTCTTTTGTGTTAACTTTGGCCAGTCTGATGACTATATATCATGGTGACTGCCTCTTGGTGATGAATCTCCCAGGACTCTGTTGCACTTCTAGTACCTGGATGTCCAGATTTCTAGCAAGACCTAGGAAATTTTCAAGTATTCCCTCAAATAGGTTTTCCAGCCTTTGCGTATTTCCTTCTTCACCCGCAGGGATGCCTATATTTCTTATGTTAGGCCTCTTTACATAATCCCATATTTCTTGTAGGCTTTGTTCATTCCTCTTATTTCTCTGTTCTTTCTCTTTGACTGACTTATTTCAAAGATGTCTTCCAGTTCTGAGATTCTTTCTTCTGCCTGATCTAGCCTACTCTTAAAGCTTTCCATTGTGTTTTGTATTTCCTTGAATTAATTTCATTTCCATAAACTCTGCTTGATTAAAAAAAAAAAATCCATTTCTTTGGTGAATTTTTCATTTATTTCCTGCATTGTTTTTGTGGTTTCTTTTGGTTAGGTTTCTATTTTCTCTTATAGTTCACTGAGCTTCCTTACAATCCATATTTCAAATTCTTATCAGTCATTTCAGTATTCTTATTTTGGTTAGTTTCCATTGTTTGGAGTTTGTTTGTTTTCTTTTGGAGGGTGTCCTTTCACTTTGATTTGTCAATGGAAAAAAGCCAAACTCTGCAAAATAATTTTAAAGAGATTTATTCTGAGCCAAATTTGAGGACCATGACCTGGAGCCACTGGCAAGAGGCCTTGGGCAAGTGGATTTGTTGTGGCTGGGTTACAGTTTGGTTTTTATACATTTCAGAGAGAAAGGTTAGCGGTAAAGCCATCAATCAATACGTGGTAGGCATACATTGGTTTGGCCCAAAAAGGAGGGCCATCTCGAATGGGGGGCTGCTTACAGGTTATAGGTGGGTTTAAAGATTCTTCTGATTGTAATTGGCTAAAGACATGAAGCTTTGTCTAAAGGCTTGGAATGTTTTAACATAAACTGTTTACCAGACATAAGTCACCATTTGTTGCATAAATTGAGGACCTGCAGGTTTGTCTTGCATACCCTTAGGCCTGTTAATGGGTTACAAAGGAAGTCTCCAAGAAGGGAGGGGGGCATGATAAGGCATGTCTGACCTCCCTCTTCCAGGCAGGCAACTTTGCCCTTGAATATTCCTTTGGCCACAAGGGGGTCCATTCAGTCAGCTGGTGGGAGGGTGAGTATTTTAGTTCACAGATTTTTCATGTATCTTGAGATCTTTTGCGGATTCCTTCTCATCTGGAGCAGCTTTTTAGTTGGTTAAGATTGAAGATTTATAGGTACTCTCATTGAGCTATCTTTGGGAAGCCAACAGTGCCAAAATATCAAATCTCGAAAGCCAGAGAACTCAAATCATGATCACCTTCAGTCTTTCACACTGCCTGTAGGGTCCCCTGTGATCTCTGAAGGCAAGTGTGGTGGGGAGGAGAAGAGCTGGGACCAGGGTGGACCATACCCTCTAGGTCTGGCTGCAGGAGGTGGTTGGTGACTGGGCAAGGCTAATTCTAGCCCAGTGGACAGAAGGTGAAGAAGAGAGAACAAGCGACAGACCACTCAAAGACGTACAGCTATGACAGAAGGAGGTGCAGAGTAGCTTGAGTGGATGTAGGAGTGGGATTTTGGTTTAAGTGGTTGGTCTTTTGCTGGGAAAGAGAATCTCTGAGTGTTTAGTGACGATGGGAGGAGCTGGCAGGAAAGGCAGAGGTTGAAGAGCCAGGAAGGACAGGATGGAAATCCATGGAGGGAGGGCAATGGCTCTCACTCTTTACAGCATGCCCCCACATACCCTATAAACGTCTAGCATCATGGCCTCTCTCCCAAATAGCTCACATGACCGTATAAAATATCTGATACACTTCTTAGACTTTCTTTGAGATTTTTAAGATCTCAGATCAACTATTATACTTTGTAGAGCAGTTTGCCTCACTGGCAAAAATTATTTAAAATGAGTTTCTCAGGCCGGGCACGGTGGCTCACGCCTGTAATCCTAGCACTCTGGGAGGCCGAGGCGGGAGGATTGCTCGAGGTCAGGAGTTCGAAACCAGCCTGAGCAAGAGCGAGATCCCGTCTCTACTATAAATAGAAAGAAATTAATTGGCCAACTAATATATATAGAAAAAATTAGCCGGGCATGGTGGCGCATGCCTGTAGTCCCAGCTACTCGGGAGGCTGAGGCAGGAGGATCGCTTGAGCCCAGGAGACTGAGGTTGTTGTGAGCTAGGCTGACGCCACGGCACTCACTATAGCCTGGGCAACAAGCAAGACTCTGTCTCAAAAAAAATAAAAATAAAAAAAAATAAAATGAGTTTCTCTCACTATATTTAAATACCTATCTATACCCACACACATACATATACGTATCAAAAACACATACTATTTTTCTTTTTTTTTTTGAGACAGAGTCTGGCTTTGTTGCCGGGCTAGAGTGCTGTGGCGTCAGCCTAGCTCACAGCAACCTCAAACTACTGGGCTCAAGCGATCCTCCTGCCTCAGCCTCCCGAGAAGCTGAGACTATAGGCATGTGCCACCATGCCCGCCTAATTTTTTTCTATATATTTTTACTCGTCTGGCTAATTTCTTTCTAATTTTTAGTAGAGACGGGGTCTCGCTCTTGCTCAGGCTGGTCTCAAACTCTTGACCTCGAGCGATCCTCCCTCCTCAACCTCCCAGAGTGCTAGGATTACAGGCATGAGCCACCATGCCTGGCCAAAAACACATACATATTTAAACATAGCCTTTTGAAAGAAGGGAAATCTGAGACAGATTTACAGACATGCTGTTGGATAGAGAACATTATAAAGCATGTTGCTATATCCTAACCCACACGGAAAATATTTTAATTATATTTAAACAAGAAAGCATAAAGAACTATATGTATTGCTCAAAAATAAATGTGAGCCAAAGATTTATGAAATCATTTCCATCTCAAAGAAATGAATGAATAGAGGCTGAAACATTCAAATTAACCTACCAGAACTTTGTGACTAGGGAGGAAAATATCCAAAACCAGCACGCAGTACAAAAAAGTTTCAGCTTTCACCCTTTTTATTTTGAGCCCATTATAACTTCAGCCTGGAAAACACATAGAGCTTACCTGGCTGCACTGTCCTGTCAAGGAAAGGGTGGACAGGAGGAAGGGCAAATCCTCCTCTGCCTCCAGTGGTCACATGACACTAAGCATGTCCTTTGCCCCTTCAAACCCAAGCATCACCCCCTTCATAGCACCATGGAGAGGGTAACATCTGGATGACAGTGGGTGCCGTTTAATGGGAGCTTTCATTATTTTTGGCTTGTGAGGCAAATTCATTTTCAAAGGGCTCTAGCAGAGACCCACGTGTTCTCTCCGACCGGTGTGTACTTTACAAAAGGCATTTTACCTCTACCTGTCTATCCAAGATTTGACTTACCACTAAACCACATGATGAACATCATCTTCGGTGTGATTTTATGATCACGGAAGAAATTCAGGAGGTAGGAAAGAGGGAAAATGTTTACCGCTCTGCCAAACAGTACCAGCACCTGTCAACAGCAACAAACTAGGTCTTAGGTGGAAACGTCTGTTCTTGAAGCTGAAGCTTGTCACAGCTAACGCAGACCCAGTGGTACCCCCACTGTAAGTGCAGCATCCCCTCCGCCATGAAAGACACGAGGGACACAACGCTCGTCGGAGACCTGGCACGGGTGTGCTGCTGCAGCTGCCAGCTTCTGTGGGTCTGGGAGAGGATGGAGCTCTGAACATTGCTTTTCAGTAGCTGGAAAAGTGTGGACTAACAGAGGTATCAGCAGGGGCTTTAGACAGCAGAACAAAACGGAATGCCCAGAAGCCATGCAGAAGTATCCAGAGATTAATTTAGGACAACCTGACTCGGGAGGCGCCCCACCGTGGGACAGGCCTGTGCTAATCATTCCCACCAGGCTAGCCCTGGAGGGACAGACAAGGCGTTTCTGCCTCTCCCCAGGAGGCCAGCTCCTCAGGGAAAGGAGGGCAGACTCTGGAGGGACTGGCTGTGCACGCCCTCCTGGCGCTCCCTGTGCCGGGAACTCGGAGGCCGGCCCAGCCAATTGCTCACATGGCTTTTGGTGCCTAACCATCTCCAAAGGCACGTTAGTGTTAGTCTTAACAAAATATAGCTTTATATAAAGTTTAAATCTTATCTGAGTGGATTCGTAGAACTATTTGTTACTTTCATTTTCTTCATCTTGGTTCTCACCATAACTAACTTGAAAGGGATGATATATGCGTGTACAATACACTCTTTAGGCTTTAAGTTTATTCTTTCAACAAGCATGAATTGAGTGCTTTGGGCGGTGTGCTTTGCATGGGCAAGTTAACAATAGTTGCTCCCAGTCATCAAACGTTTCTGTGCGAGACAATGTGCTAAGCATTTTACATGCACTATCTTGCTAAATTGAAATCCTTGCAAAGGTCTTATGAAGTAGGTATTATTGTCTCCACTTTATAGACAAGGTATCTGAGGCAGGGAGAGGTTAAGTAACTGGTCTGGGATGACCAGGCAGGAAGTGGTGGATTCAAGTCTGTAGACCCCAAAGCCCAAAGCCCCCTGATCCCTAATCCGAGTCCAAAGGTGGGAACTGGAATCCATCTGACAGCACAGGCCGCCTCCCCTAGCCCGTGGTCCAACCTGTGCCTGTGTGCTCAGGGGAGACTGAGTGATCACGCAGGGCATCTTCTCATTTTCCTCCCAGCCAGCAGCTGAGACAGTCACCTCCTGTTTCACCCAATGAAATCCAATCTTCCATTCCTACACCTGCGTGTCAGCTTTGACCAAACAGGGCCCCTTTCCCCAGTGACTACACTAAAGACTATTATACTTTCTATAAAAGACTTTTGCTGCTATTTTCTTGTCCTGAAACCTGAGTTTGGTGGACAGATAAACAGTGACAAACAGCAACAAGCTCTTGCTGTTGAGAGTTGGAAAAACCCAGATTACAAGGAGAGAGTATCCTTTTCCTGACTTAGGCTTCCTTATCTTCTCTGTGTCTCGGTTTCCCCACAAGCCAAACAGGCCTCACCAGTTTGAGTTTGTACACTTTAGGTGATAATGCTAAAAAAAAATGTTGGTCTTCCCTTTTTTTTTTTTTTAACAGAGACATGGTCTCCCTAAATTGCTGGTCTTGAATCCCTAGCTTTAAGCAATCCTCCTGCCTCAGCCTCCTGTGTGGCTGGGATTACAGGTAGGAGCCACTGCTCCGGCAAAAGTGTGCCTTTTTTTTTTTTTGAGACAGAGTCTCACTCTGTTGCCCTGGCTAGAGTGCCGTGGTGTCAGCCTCGCTCACAGCAACTTCAGACTTCTGCACTCAGCAATCCTTCTGCCTCAGCCTCCCAAGTAGCTGGGAGTATAGGTATGCGCCACCATGCTTGGCTAATTTTTTCTATGTGTTTTTAGTTGGCCAATTAATTTCTTTCTATTTTTCATAGAGACGGAGTCTCGCTCTTGCTCAGACTGGTTTCCAACTCCTGACCTTGAATGATCTGCCTGCCTCAGCCTCCCAGAGTGCTACAATTAGAGGTGTGAGCCACTGTGCCTGGCTAAAAGTTTGCCTTTTAATAGCTGTGCTTTGTTAAGTGGAGTTGGCAATAAAAATTAACTGAAGATTATGATAATTCAACAACAGTGAGGTGTGTTTCTTAAGTGCCTTAAATTAACAGAGGATCTAAAACGACATCAAAGAAATCAAATTAGGGCTTAGAGTATGACTCAGCAGCAGGGCCTATGAGAGATGAGCTCATGCTGAAGGAATAAAGACAGGAGGAAGAGAACAGACAAGGGACTTGGGGACATACAGCTAAATGTCCAAGTGTTAGGGGCCATTAATGTTACTCTGAGCAGGTGGAGGGAGCTGGACCCTTCTTTTAAATGCTAAACACTGATTTTCCTCCACTCTATTCCCAAAATGGATTTTTGATTCTGCTACAAATGATTAAAAATCTCTTTTCCTTTTTTAAGGGTATATTTTTAACTTGTCTCCTACTGCCACTTCCAGTCCAATTATAACACTGTCTCCCAAATCTTCTTTTCTAAAATTAAAAAGAAAAATTTTTTTAGAGACAGGGTCTTGCTATGTTGCCCAGGCTGGAGTGCAGTGGCTATTCACAGGCGTGACCACAGCTCACTACAGCCTTGAATTCCTGAACTCAAGCCTCAGCCTCCGAGGTGCTGGGACTACAGGCATGTGCCACCACTCCCAGCTAGTTTCTCAGATCTTTTTGATCATAAGCATCTCCTGGATAATTCATCTGGCTGACTCTCCAGGGGAGGTAAGGGCTTGGTAATCTTTACTTTAAACAAGTGTCCAAGGTCATGGTTATAAATAGACAAATTTGAAGAAAACTGCATTAAGAAGTAGGTTATAAATTAACTCAAAAAAGTAGAAAAGAAAGTTCTGCAACCACTGTGAACATTTTCTCTATATGTAATATTTTTACATCCTGATGATCAATTACATATTCAATTTTGCTTTCACCATCTAACCAAAAGAACAAAAACAAAGCCAAACAAAACCAAATAACTTGCACTTTTTAAAGGAGACCATAATATTCAAGGCCATTAAAAATTTTAAAACAAGCAGAAGTCCTTTTCAAGGAATATGCACTCAATTCCACCCTTTCCCCCTTTTTGTATGTTTATGATTTTTTAACAAAAGAAACTTGAAACAGAAGAAGTCTATGTAGCTGTTGACTTTGAACAGTTAACAGTTACATAAATGAATGCAGAACATGTGGTTCCTGATTTACAAATAAGTAATTAAATAAAAAACAAGGAAAATACTTACTATGCACCAGATGACAAAGGAAATTTCAAACTTGTGAGGGAAACTAAAAATGGACAGGCCAAGAAATGCAAACACACATGTTTCTGAAACAAACCAAAGAATGAGTTATTCAGCCCCAACCATTTTCTTCCAATATAATATTAAATTTTTAAGCAAGTAAACATTCAGAAGTCAGATCCAATGTAATGCTTTGCGTATTTTCTGGAAAATCCTACAACCAACATCTTGGTCAAACTTGTACTTAGATTCTCTCATTCTTTCCTATATTGCAGAAGCAATGTGTCCTTGCTGTTAATATTTAGAAATCTCCTACTATAATGAGTCAGCTGGTAAATATTTTTGCAAATAAAAACTATCCCACCCAGGGAAGATGATAAACATATAAATCTGTCTGTTTGCTGAACACTGTCATTAGCAAGGGTTGGGACAGCAGCAAAGTGGCAGAAACTCAGAGCAAATGACTGTAGACACCACATGACAGGTGTGAAAGGGCCCTTTGTTACCTTCCTTGCCAGAGTGGACAAGGCCAAATGACTGACTTAACAGAATTAACGCGGCCACAGGTTTAAAGCATGGCTTACACCCAGCAGGATTTGCACAAAGAGACACATTTTCAATTCTGCTCCACTCTACAAGCCTAAAAAGGCCCAACTTTTTACTCTCTGTTGTATAAATGTGTGCATTTTAAGAAAAAGCACCCATTTCTAACACTAAGCTCCATGCTTAAACTGTTATATCTCCCAGAATAGCCTAATAGAGAGACAAAGACTGTATGTTAAAATAGTTGAACATCACAAAACAGTAAGGCTGTTTAAAAACATTTCAGCAATGTTTTTTCTTCAAACATGTATCCTTTTAAAACAAGTCCACAAGGTGGACAGTATACTCACCCTTCTCTTCCTTAAAAGTTTTTCTTATCTATTAAATATTTTGTGACCTTTCCAATCAGCACATTTAGAACACATTCAGATCTACTTTATGTTTTTCCCTGGCAGCATAGATTCTAGTATATGGATATATTATGGTTAATTTAACCAATCCTCTGTGGACAGATATTTAGACTGTTTCTATTCAGAAATAGCTACAGTAAACACTCTGGTACACGGGCTAAATTCCAGCTGATTGAACGGCTGGGTCAAAGAGCATGTGCCTTTTAAATTTAGATGCTGCTAGTGACTCTCCAAAAAAGATGGCAGCAATGTACATGCCCATCCACAGGGCCTGTTTTCCACACACCCATGCCAGAAGTGGGCATTATCAAACTTAATATTTGCCAATCTGATGGGTACAAAATAGAATTTGATAGATGTTTTGCTTCATATTCCTTTAATTGAGAGGGTAAGGGTCAGAATCTATAGCCCTGGCTTTCAAAGAAAAGTGCTATGGAAAAGTTACCCACTGGCCCAGAAATAAAGAGACCTGGCTTCCGGACCCGCTTGTTGGCATGAGACCATGGGCAAGTCACCTGACAACTTCTCAGTAGAGCCCCTCATCTGTGGAAGTCTCTACACGGCCTGCCCCTGTCTCCTAACACATAAGAGTATGGAATTAGCACTTCAAAATGACAAGCCTGGCCAGGCACAGTGGCTCACGCCTGTAATCCTAATGTTTGGTAGGCCAAGGCAGAAGAATGACTTGAGCCTAGGCGTTTGAGACCAGTCTGAGCAACACAGCAAGACCTCGTCTCTACAAAAAATTAAAAAAATATATTAGCCAGGTGTGGTGGTGCACACATTTAGTCCCAGCTACTTGGGAGGGTGAGGCAGGAGGATAATTTGAGTCCAGGAGTTTGAGGTTGCAGTGAGTTGTGATCAGACCACTGCACTCCAGCCTGGGCAACAGAGCGAGACCCTGTCTCAATTTGTAATTTTTTTTTGGTCATGGGCTTTCTGTAGTCAAGGAAAAAAAAATTATAATTTTTTTAAAAAGCAAGAAAAGAAACAAAATGACAAGCCGCCCTCAAAACATCAGGGGTGATGCTAATGATGAGAGGCTCAGCCTCTTGGGAGCCAGCTTAAAGGGACAGAGTGAGAGTGTTCCTTCACTCCCAGGTATAAAGTGGGGAGTGGGGGTACACGGGTATGTCTGAGCATGGCAGGGACCAAGAGCTCGAATCGAAACTGCTAAGAAGAAAGAGTCAGCTGGGCGCGGTGCTCACACCTGTAGTTCCAGCTACTCAGGAGCCTGAGCTAGGAGGACCACGTGAGCCCAGGAGTTTGACACCAGCCTGGGCAACACAGTGAGACCCTGTCTCAGAATAAAAAAGAAAAAGGCAGTGTGGTCTATCCCAGCTCAACAAATGACATCTCCACTGCAAAATCTCCCCAAGTTATGTCCTTCATGATGATCCCGTGAACACAGGGCTCTACAGACAAGTTTGAGAAAGGGTATAACTATATTCCCCACTTAGAAATTTACAATGAACATTAGCTGAAAAGTCTTCCAGTTCATAAACTTATCAAATTTTATTTAACCCAGGATTTCCTAAAGTCTTTTTTGACTATGGAGCTTTTTCCATCTAACTGTCATTAATATCATTTCCAAGGGATAAGTTTTAAGAAATGTCACTTTAATACATTAAAAATAACATGCCTCAAATATAATTAGTAGTTCTCACTATTTTTTGGTCTTAAAATTGTAGGCATCAACTGTTCCATTCATTAGGTGTTTGGTTTACTTTATGGGATTTCAAAGCCAGAGGAACAAATACAAGACACAGGTGTGGTATCTGGCTCTGAGGAATTGCCCTGCTGCCAGGGAAAATCTCAAGTGACCCCTAAAGCAGGGAAAGGGAGCAGGATTCACTCTGGGTAGGCCACACATGACCACTCAGAGGCAGAACTCACCGCACAAGAAGGCCACAGTCCGCAGGGTTTGCTGCATGAGGATCTGGGTGACCGGGGAGAGGTTGTGGTGGGTGTAGTGCGACATCACGATGCCCGAGAACAAGATGGCCATGATGCCTAGAGGGGGAGGGAGGTCAAAGTGCACAGACATGAACAGAACAGGAAAGCACCTGCCACGTGACACCCTAATCAGATCTCTCATTTCCTATAAGTCCCTGGGGCCAAGAGTACTAGGCGTTTTAAGAAAAACACAAAGAGAATAATACCTGAGGTCTCCCAGAGGCTTCAGAGAAATGCCAAGGGCCCCTTCTCTCTGGCAGCTTTGTCATTAATTGAGTGACTTCAGGCTAAGTTATTTCTCCTGCCAGAGCCTGAGTTTTCTCCTCTGTATGTGGGACTAATAGTGCCCACTCACAGAACTGCTAGGAGGGCGAGTGAAAACTAGCCAGGCAAAGTGCCCATCACAGCACCAGGGCTTACGTGGTGTGAGCTGTCACTGTCATCTAAGGATAGAATCAGCCCTCTGTACCCACAGACGCAGAACTTGCCGATATGGAGGGCCAACTGTGCTACACCATTTTATGTAAAGGACTCGAGCACCCAGGGATTTGGTATCTGGGGGGGCCTGGAGCTGACGCCCCATGGACACTAAGGGACGACAAGGGGGGTGGGTGAGCCACACTGGGGGGCAGAAAGGGAGCCTAAGGCTCTGGGTACGGAGAATGTGTGGATTCTGGCTGAATTTTTAAATATTTTTCCTTAATTTTGAATTTCCCCGTAATTATCGTGCATTACTGCTATAATACAAAGAGATTATTTAAAAAGGTATTATATCTTTTCTTCAGCTCTCATGAGAGTCTGCGACCTTCTTTGCTTACTCAGGATTTGAGTCTCAACATTTGTCCACTGCCCCTAAATCACTTTACACAGGTCTCTTCTCAGTAAATCCCTATCTAGGCAGTCTGTATTTCAGGTAAGGAAGTTGAGATTTTTTAAAAAGTCATCAAATAAGCTGCCAAAATATGCTAATTGCAAGCCAAACTTGATAAGCAAAATTTTAACTCACTTCTGATGTTTTGTAGAAACGGGGCTTAACTGGCTAACTTTCCATTTATAAGAGGGTGAAAATCACAGCATTGCATTGCAGACATTTCAACTGCAAAGCCTATTGTCTACACACTACCCTACAAAATATAGGAATCCTACTCTTTGTATTGCCCAACAGGTGTGGGCTGCCTGAGTGACAGCAGCAGCTGGGACATTTGATCTCCTAACCCTCCTAGATAATAGCAGATGCCTCTGCTCTTCCTCCCCACCCCAAGGAGATTCCAGCAATGCTTCCTGGAAGACACTGTTGACAATGGGCAACGGGAAACGAGAGGGCAGGAAATTCCTTCACTGGCTACGTGAGAGCTCTTTGGTGCTCCAGAGTTGTTCTAGATCACTGTTCCACTGGACACCAAGCAAGCGCACAACAGAAACCTCCAGTTGTTCCTCTCTAAATTCACTTGCTCCTCTCAGTATGTTCCTGCAGGTGACCAGAGCTGGCCCTTCCTGATCCTGCAACAAAACGCAGGCACCAACACCACTGAAAGCAAAGCCACATGAAACATAAGGGTCACAAAACCACAACTTGGTCTGGAGCTCAATTTCCACTGTCAGACTGGGAAAGGGAGGGCGAGGCACAACCAACTTAAGGTTTTTTTTTAGAGACAGGGTCTCACTCTGTCACCCAGGCTGGAGTGCAGAGGCACAATCACAGTCCACTGCAGCCTTGAACTCCTGGCCTCAAGTGATCCTCCCACCTCAGCTTCCCAATGTGCCGGGATTACAACTGGGGCCACTGCACCTGGCCCCTGTTGTGGTTTTTTAAGAGATGCCAGAAATCTGTTTCTTAAGGGAAATCTCTAAACTTTTAATGATAGCAACTAATTCAAATGTTTAAAATTTTTCCATATAGATAAACTAACCCTATCTAGGGGCTGAGTTTGGACCACAGCTGTCATCTGTGCACTTGACCCACTGATGTTGGAAATGGGCCATCTGGACAATCCAAGAGCACTTTTGCCCAGGCTAGAGTCGAGTCAGGGCAGCTCTCAAGTTCTGGGCTAAAGGAAAGAGTCAGGGACAGCAGTGGGTGCAGAAGCCTGAGGGCCAGCTCATGGGTCTTCCCTAGGAGCCCCCCAAGTCAGGGGACTCTCCCTACCGACAGCACCCTCACCGGCTGCAGCTGCCACCCAGAAGGCAGGGGGATGGTGTAAACTAGGCTCACTTTTATAAGTGAGATAAAAGGCATGGCTATTTAAAAAAATAAAGGAAGACTTTCATCTAGGAAGGCAAAATCATTTAAGAAAGGTAACAATGCGGCAAAAACGTTCAGCCTCTTGGAAAGAAGGAGGGAAGGAAAATAGGGAGGAAGGAAACCCATGTCTGCTTGTGGTGAAATCAATTGTTTTAGATGTAATAACGGAAGACAGTAAGGGACTCAAGTGTAAAAGGCGCAACTTCCACTGTACCTGTGGGCAAAATATGACTTGCATCTTGAGGGCCAAGTCAAACCATAATGAGTCTTCAAATTTTGCTATAAAGCATTCAGACTCACGGAGGTAGAGAGTGAAAGAGAATCCCCATTCACACGGCCTGCTCAGAGGTAAACACTGTCAGCACTTCAACATGCAGACTGCAGTTCTTTTACAACATGACTATAAAGTTTACCCATCTTTTAAAAAGTAAAAACAGGATATCACACATACAGTGTGGATTATCATCAGAGTGATTTTTTTCAAAGGCCTTGGCACGTATAATAGAATCCCAGAGCCTTTTCAGGCCTACAGAGCCCTGCAGGGGGCGTCCTTGCCCGGCTCTGTCCCACCCACACTGGTCTTTCCTTCTGGAACATGCCACGTTCCCACATGCCTGTCTTGGACCCTTGGCACCTGCTGTTCTGGCTGCCAGAACACTCCTTCTCCAGGTCTTCCCCGCGCTGGCTCCTCTCACCATGGAGGTCTGGGATCTAGTGCCACCTCCTGGGAGCCCTCCCTGCCTGCCTGAACTCCTCGTGGTTCTTCTGCCCTGGCAGCCTCTATCCTGTGACTCTGCTTTCTTTTTCCATTTCTCACTAACTGAAATGGTCGTATGTGTCTGCTTACATGCCTATTGTCTTTTGTCTGCAGGCAGGAACCTGACCTTGCCTTGTTTACTACTGTACATCTGATAGCAAGGATCGTTCTCAGCATTAGGGTGGGCGTTCAATAAACATTTATTGAATGGATGGAGGAATGATTTTTCAACTTTCTTAAAATTTAATAATATGTCTTAGAGTTTTTTCCATGGCAGTACAAATAGATCAAATTCATTTTTTCAGTGGCTGCGCAAGATTCCATAGTGAGAATGGATCTGCACTTGATCTTTCCCATTACTGATCAACATTTAGTTGTTTCCACTTTTTCTCTCATAAGCAGTGCTGCAACAGAATGCCTTAGATATGTACATATGTGTTCTGTACCATGTATTTCATCTTTGGCCAAGATCGTGTCAACATTTTACAGAAAGTGTTATGTCCTGATTTATCTTATCCTTCAACCCCAAAAGTCCCCTCCTCTGTGACCCACCTGGACAGTGTCACTCTGCCCCATCCCTGTGTCTGCCTAAGGGAAAGGGTGGGGTCTATTCATCTTTGAATCTTTAAAGCCAGAAGGCAAAATGATCCTCAAAACTGGCTTGAATGAACAATAAAAATAGTTAACACTGATAAAATTAGAACAAAGACTCTGAGAATAGCTAACAGACTATTTGATTTTCTGTTTAAACCAGGACACTTTTTAAAAAAGGACTTATTTATTTAATAGATGAGGTCTTGTTCTATCGCCCAGCCTAGAGTGCAGTGGCACAATCACAGCTCATTGTAGCCTCGAACTCCTGGGCTCAATGGATCCCCCTGCCTCAGCCTTCCAAGTAGCTGTAATCGCAGGTGTACACCACCTTGCCCAGCTGAAACCAGGACATTTCTGAGAATGAAAGGGCATATTATTACTTCATCATGTTGGGACAACAGGGGAAAACTGAGAATCTCAGGGCCACCCAGTACATATGGCCACCCAAGCACCAACACGGATGCCTGTCAGGACTCTGACTTATGTTGGTCCCTTTAATCTTCAGCACATGCCTCAGGCTGGCCCTTTTATGGTGTCTATTTTGTGAAGAGGAAGTGGATGCTCAGAGTGGTTAAGCCTGTAGTCAGAGGTTACACAGCCAACGAGGGGGGAGCTGGGATTCAAACCCAACTCTGTTACACAGCCCAAGTCCGAACCATTGCATTCTAAACGTGTGGGTTTAGGTAAATGGTCCATAATCCCTTGGAAGAGAACGTCCTGCTCCTTGGTCTTGAGAACTACTCATTATCAGTCCTTGGTAACAGGAGGAAGGGTGCACAGAAAGGAAGGCGAAGACAGCAGAAACGCCACCTTCCCACTTGTACGCTCACAGCACGATGTGGAGGGTCCACATAACATACGAAGGCCATCCCACCCCATCTGAACACCCCACCTGACAAATACTCTAAAGGCAGAGTGCAAATAGAGCCAGTCCCATCTCCCAGAGGTAGATGGCATGTTTCTGGCCTGCACTGGACCGTCTGGCCCCATCAGCATGTGGAACAAGGTCCCTAAGGAAATGAAACCCTATAAATAGAAAACACTGCCAATCCAAAGAAAAGACAAGAGAAACACTCCTTTGTTTTAATCACAAATTTCAGATGCATAAAATATATCTTTGCTAATAGGTACTCAATGATAATCTTAAGGGGGTAGAGGAATAATTTAGAAAACCAAAAGTGAAAATAACTAGGCTCCAGCCAAGTGACTCACAGGTAATGTTTATCTAAGTGCCAACATTCAGTACTGAAAAGAGAGGGAACCTGATGGCAGATTCTGGGATGAAATTATCCTGGTTAACTGGTTTGGGGTTAAAAATAAACAAAACCAAGCCAGGCATGGTGGCCCACCTATAGTCCCAGGTACTCAGAAGGCTAAGGCAGGAGGACTGCTTGAGCCCAGGAGTTTGAGTCTAGCCTGGGCAACATAGTGCAATCTCATCTCCAAACAAAACAAAACAAAATAAAACAGGAAAAAAAAAAAAAAAAAAAGGAACAAAAAAACCCCTGAGGTTTACAAAGAGTTCGCCCTATGAAAATGGCCAGAGTCCTCTGCTTCCTCCTTGGCGAGAACTGCTCACAAAGTACCCAGGTGTGACTCCAACCAGTGAGCTGGGGGAAGGAGAATTCTGTTCAACCGAATCATTAAAAGCCACTGGGGATTTCCACTTTGCCCATAAAGAAACAGCTGCTACACAAGTCACTGTCCGGACACAAACAATAGAAAACCTGATACAAGCCAGGAAACAAAATTGTTTTCTGACATTGGATAAAAGGCAGGGTAGGGGAAGGCAAACAAACATGGTGGCCACTCTTTACCCAGAGCCCTGGCCAAGCTTACTGCCTGGAGGCGGAAACAGGCCACAGGGAGGGCAGACCCTCACAGAGCCAGCAGTCCGTCTCGCTGAGATGAGGAGACAGACTAGAGCGGGGGAAGCTGCAGAGAAACTGAGCTCTGGGGACGCACAATAAAGTCCCCATGAGTCGTTGCCTGATGCTGACTGGTCTGTACATGTGTAGGATGAAATTCCAAGAGACTGGGGAAAGAACCACTAAAAAGCAGTAGGCTGGACAATTCCCAAAGCTGACACAGGGCTTGGAATAGTCTGCATTCCCAGCAGCCGAGAGGGGCGACCTCATAATACATGAGGTGTGAGGCAGAGGCCTCAGCAGGTCGTTGCCTTAGCTAGGGCACAGCCACTCTGGACCTGCCCTAAGTTTAAAAGTAAGCCTCAAAAGGAACAAACTGATTCTAAGAGACTTACATACATGTCAGAAGAAAAGTCCAGAACTCTATAAAAGAATACAGTAAGATCTTTATGTACTCAACAACATAAAGTTCACAGTGACTGGCATGCAATAAAAAATTAATAGCAAGCAAAGAGCAGGAAAATGTAATCCATAAGCAGAGGAAAAATTGATAGAACAGACCTAGAACTGATTAGCTCACAAAGACACGAACAGAGCTATTATAAATGTGTTTTGTATGCTCAAGGATATAGAGGAAAAACATGTCAGGATGAAGAGAGATAGAAGATATAAAAATAACCCAAAGAGAACTTTAGATAAATTACACAATTATCTAAAATGAGAAATAAAATGGATGGGATTAATAGGAGAGTCCACAAGGCAGAATAAGAGATCAGAGCCGTTGAAGACACAGCAATAGAAACTGACCAACATGAAGCATATAGAAGGAAAAAAAAAAAAAAAAAAAGACTGGGGAAAAAAAAGGGCAGAGAATATTGTGGGCCAATAGCATGCTGTCAAGACTGCAGTAACTGGAGTCTCTGGGGGGGTGGGGAGAACAGAAAAAAAAGTTTAAAAAATGGGTAAAAATTTACCAAATTTGACAAAAGCCATAACCACATAAACTATAAGCCCGAGAAGCTCAATGAACCCCAAGCAGAACACAAAGTGAACCACACCAATGGTTCAACCACTGAGAATCCAATTGCTACACACCTATCAGGATGGCTAAACTTTTAAAAAATTAACATAAGCGTTGGTGACAATACAAAGCAACTAGAACTCTCTCATACATTCTGGTGGGAATGTAAAATTTATATAGTTGCTTTGAAGAACGTTTGGCAGTTCCTAAGAAAGTAAATATGTACTTAGCAGATGACCCAGCAACCTCACTCCTAGGAATTTACTCAAGATAAATGAAAACATGCAAAACTGTTCATAGCCAAAATCTGGGAAAACCCAAATGTCCTTCAAATGGTGAATGGACAGGCCGGGCGTGGTGGCTCACGCCTGTAATCCTAGCACTCTGGGAGGCCGAGGCGGGCGGATTGCTCAAGGTCAGGAGTTCAAAACCAGCCTGAGCGAGACCCCGTCTCTACCATAAAAATAGAAAGAAATTAATTGGCCAACTAATATATATAATATAAAAATCAGCCGGGCATGGTGGCGCATGCCTGTAGTCCCAGCTACTCGGGAGGCTGAGGCAGGAGGATCGCTTGAGCCCAGGAGTTTGAGGTTGCTGTGAGCTAGGCTGATGCCACGGCACTCACTCTAGCCTAGGCAAGAAAGCGAGACTCTGTCTCAAAAAAAAAAAAAAAATGGTGAATGGACAAATAAGGATGTATGAACTACGGATACATGCAAAAATATGGATATTTCTCGAAAACATGATGGTAGCTAAAAGAAATGAGTCACGAAGGACTACATACTACATGATTTCACTTATATGACATTCTGGAAAAAGCAAAACTACGATGCAGTGCAGATCAGTGGGTGCCAGTGCTCAGGACAGGCAGGGGGGCTGACTGCAGAGGGCACAGGGGAGCATGTGGGTGATGAAAGGTACCACATCTTGACTGTGATGGTGGTTATGTCACTGTATACATTTGTCAAAACATTTAGAATAGGTACATTTACTGTATGTAAATTATACCTCAAAAAAATTAATACAAAAGAAAAACCATCCTGTGGCAGAGATCAAAACATCCCCGGCAATGGAGCCACATTTCCAGAACAAAGCTCTGAAGGGCCTCACTCAAAGGATGGGGTCAGACTGCCGGGGGCAGAGCCCTTCCCACTCAGCTGCAGCCCTCACCCACGGCAGGGTGGAGTCGTGCTCCAGACATGCTACACGGCCTCCACGTCACAGTCAACATCCTTATACTTTAACAAGCTGTGGACACAGGCTCGACTGCCCCGTGAGGGCAGAAAGACCAACTAAGCCAAGCCTTGCAAACAGGAGCTGCTGACTGACTTCGAGGAGGTGAGGCTCCAAGAACTGTTCCTCCATGAGCGGCCACCCCTCTTCCAGCTGGTGAGCCCCATCTTCCAGGACCCCGTCAAAGCGTGGTCTCGCTGCTGGGAACGGCGTGCCCTCCTCCACTGGGGTGCAGGGAGGAGGCTCTGGGGCTCCACTGGCTGGTTCCGATCTCATGGCAGCCACCTACTACCTGCGCAGCTTTCAGCTAATGACTTAACCTCTCAGTACCTGCCCCACAGGAGTGGTGGCAGCACTGAACTGAATACAGGTTAAGGTGTGTGCAGTACACTCTGCTATTACACCATCACGCCATGGCCACACTTTGCGTGTCCCTCTGTGTAGCACTTAGTATGTGGTTTTATGATCAACTGTGTTGGAGGCAGTTGTATTAGAGGAGGGCATCTAAGCATTATTTCTTGAGTCAAAGACAACTAGTTTCAATGGCTGTTTCACCATTTCAGCTGTGACCTTGGGCAATTTATTCAATCTCTCTCAACCTCGGTTTTCTCATCAGGGACCTTCGCCTCCCTCCCACCGGCTCCGTATTGATCAGGGAGCCCCCTAAGACTGATGAGAGATAAAAGAGAGAATGCGGGTCAAGAGAAAAGGTGCCCATGACACCAAAGTGACTGTCTGAGCTCCTAGATCCAGCCAGGCCTACATCCCTTTTATGGCTGTGACTGTATTTACAACTGAAAGTGACTGTCTTTACAACTGAAAGTGACCTAACTGACAAAACCTCTTTCACAGGCAGGACAATGTACCATCCCCACAGCATTTCCAGGCTCTCTGCCACTTACCTGAGAGTGAGATTCCTTCTGCGAGCCCATAAGGCAGATAAGCAAAAATGATCATCATGCCAAACTCCAAGGAGGGAGTTTTCCTCAAGTCAATATGCTTTAGCACGTGAATGACAGTTGTTAAGGAAAAAGAATCAAGGGATAGTTGAAATCACAAAACTGCTGCCCGCTGGGCATGGTGGCATGCACCTGTCATCCAAGCTATTTGGGAGGCTGAGGCAGGAAGATCGCTGGAGCCCAGGAGTTCTGAGGCCAGCCTGGGCAATGTGGCAAGACTGCATCTCAAAAAACAACAAAAATTGCTGCCTTCTAAATATGTAAACAACAGAAACGAAAAATTTTAGAATATCCCAGGATTACAACTGAAATTTTGGCATTATGGAATTTTTTTTCTTTGTAGGGAGACTGCTGTTATAAGAAAGGGAATCTGACAAAACAGAGAAGCAGAGACAAATGGTGGGAGAAAATTAAAATCAACCTAAGTCCACTCATTTAAAAATGTTGACTCAGAGAGCTGGGAATGTGCCAGGGGCACAGGGCAAAGCTGGGGTTGCAAACACACCAGGGGCAGCCCACATTGCCAAGGTCCTTCCTAGGGCTGTGTTACCTCCCACCTCCTCTGCTGACATCAGATGAGATAACTAATGGGTACCCATCTTGCTTTCCAGAACTCTGGGGTTCTGTGCACTGTTGAAGAACGATCTTTCCTATTCCTAGAGACATCTAAACTCATGCCCCTAGGAAAGGAAAGAGAGTCTTCTATGTGTTCAAATATTGTTCACCACACCTATCCTAGAGCTCTCATACCCATTTGCTCCATTTCATTACACTAGATGCTTTTTTAAAAAAAATAAAAAGATAAATATGGTAGCCAGGCATAGTGGCTCAAGAATGTAGTCCCAGCTACTCAGGAGGCTGAGGCAGGAGGACTGCTTGAGGCAAGGGTTTCAAAACCAGCTTGGGCAACATAGTGAGACCCTGTCTCTAAACAATAATAGAAAAAAAGAAATCCAGGCATGGTGGCACACACCTATAGTCCTAGCTACTTGTGAGGTAGAGTTAGAGACCAGGCTGGGCAACATAGCAGGACTCTATCTCTTAAAAAAAAAAAGAGGCTGGGCACACTGGCTCATGCCTGTAATCCTAGCACTCAAGAGGCTGAGGTGGGAGGATCACTTGAGCTCAGGAGTTTGAGACCAGCTTGAGCAAGAGCAAGATCCTATCTCTACTAAAAATAGAAAAATTAGCCGGGCGTCATGGCAGGCACCTGTAGTCCTAGCTACTCAGGAGGCTGAGGCAAGAGGATCACTTGAACCCAGGAGTTTGAGGTTGCAGTGAGCTAGGCTGCTGCCATGGCACTCTATTCAGAGCAACAGAGTGAGACTTTGTCTCAAAAAAAAAAAAAAAGGAAAAGAAAAAAAAATAAGAAAAAAGAAAAACATGAGACGAAATATAAATATAGAGGAAACTACGAACTGGAAAAAGTTTTCTCTTCCATTCTGTTTATTGGTACAATATGAGAAGCTGTCAGCCAACTCAATAGAGCCTTTAGACTTCTGGACAAGGGAGTTGATGGGAAAATTCAACAAAATGGCAGAAAAACATGCCTTTAACCAGGCAAAAGAGTCTTTTCCGGCCATCTGTGAAGCAAACTGCTCGTGGAGGAGGGCCAGGTGGCCTTCTCCCTGAGACGTAGGCTTAGGCGCACACAGAAATGGTCTGGTGTCTGCTCCTATTTTAAACATAATGCATTTTCCACAGCAATAAAGGTGCCATTGGCCTGAACAAGCCTCTTTCCTTCTCGGGCTGGAAAAGCTTATGGGTTGTTACACAACAAAATCAGTGCAAAAAACTTAGATGAAGCACACTTTCAAAAATCCCTTTTCTAATACTTTCAGATGAACACTTTCAAGTGGGGTAAAGATTTTCTCAATTTGACATTTTCAAAGAAAATTATTTTCTGAGTGTCTGAATGTGAAAAGTGAGACGGTAGAAAATGAAAATCCTCTGCATGTGGTTATCATACTCTGGGAACCGAGAAGCCCCCCAAACCACTTATGATATCCAATAGTGTTCATGATTTTTAAGCTTTGAAAAGTGACATCCTACATTTCACATGTTAAATTTAAAAATCTTTGAGTTTAAATTAGAGTGTTTCTCAGACCAAAACTAAGCATATAAATGCTCCTTCAAACAAAACCTTAGTCTAAAATCGGCCCCACTAAGGAACAGGAGAAACTAGCTGGAGATGGGTATGATCAAGAATAATCTCAGCCCTGCATGTTCAGCACATTAAAAGGATATTAATGCAGAAATTAAGCCAGTCAGAGTGCCGAGCGCTGCTGAGCCAAAGAACATTTTGAGGAAGTAGTCAAGGGCTTGTAAAAATGTTTGCCACCCACTGACATCTGACATATTTTTTCTTGTTAAACCTTCAGCTGTGCTAGGAAATAAAAGAAAACAGAAAGAAGTTAAAATGTTATACACAAAGTTCTTAGAAATTAACTTAGAACTTAAAACTTATCTCCTGCTCCTTCCCTCATTCATGCATTCATCCCACCATTCAATCAGCAGTCACACATTTATTTTTTCATCTTGTCCCAGATTGGCCTTAGTTTCTGGGGTTCAGAGGTGATAGCACAGTCCTCACCCTCAAGGAGCTCTCCCCACGCCAATGAGGGAGAAAAACAAGATGAGACCTAATGACAATCTGGGTGAAGGGCAAGGGCTATGGAAACACAGGCTGGGAATCTAACTCAGACTGGTGAGGGGCGAAGAAAGTGCTTGAGTGTGTGTGGGCTGGGTTTAGACTTGGGATAAAGAGCTGCCCAGGTGAACACATGAGGGAAAATACCCCAGGCCAAGGGAACAGCATGTGCAAAGGCAGGAGGCAGGGAGCCCAAGCATAGGTAGTGCATTGTGGGAACATTCAGGGAGCAAGAAGTGGGGGGTGGGGAAGGGGCAGGAGACAAGGCAAGAGTAGCAGGCAGGGGCAGAGGCTGGGGAAGGTGTTGGCATTTCATCTGAAGGTCTGGGGGAGTCCACTTCCTTTTTAGTACAGGAATCCAGCGACAAAACCTGAAATAGAGGCTATGGCAAGATGTCAGAACAGAATGGAGCCGCCCAAAGAAGAAATGTCAGGGGTTTTCAAGGGGGAGGATTTAGGAGGCATTAAAGAAAAAATATTGGAAGAACTTTCCTTTCACCATAACAGAACAAAGTAAAATGTCAAAAGCCATTAAATTCAATCGTTGGTTTTGTCCCCAAAGGGAAAAGCATTCTACCATTAGTAAGGAGCTGTTTTTGTTAAATATCCTCCTTCCGTCATCCCACCTCATCCTACCTCCTGCCTGGCTCTCAAATGCATCCACTCCTCTCCTCTACGATTCTCCCAGGGATATGTCTCACTCACCTCTTGCTAGACATCCTTGTCCTCCTACAGACCAACCCAGTTCTACACTCAGTAGTCTGAGTGACCCCTTTCAAATGTAGATCTAATCAGGTCACCAGCCCTTTCAAAACTCCTCCAGGGTTTCTTGGGGCTACCAGGAGGAAGCCCAGTCTTCTTAGCATGGCCTGGCTCCTGTCCCCCTGTACTTCTCTGACCTCACTTCCTCCTCATTCAGGAGGATGCAGCCATCCTGTCAATGGCACCTCCTAGTAGGTCATCTTTTACCCTTCCCTGGCCCCAGTGGCCCTGACCCCTTCACATGGACTGGCCCATTTATAGGTTGTCATGGTACCTGACCTCTCCTTCACAGCATGGGAAAATTGCAGGGCATTATTCCATGAGGACCAAGCCTGTGTCCATCTCGTTCACTGCCATATGCCCAGAGCTTAAAGCAGAGCCTACCTAGCACGCAAAAGATACTCAATACCTTTTCTCTGAACCAGTAAATGAAACAAAGAATAGTCAACAGTAATATTCAGTATCGTTAATCAGCGTTTCATGAATTGGTATTATTTTTAAAGCAGAACAATCTCTGATAGAAGGGAAGTTGGTCAAATAACCTTAGGAAGCCTTTTGAGGAGATTCATGGCACAAAATAACATAATAAAGGTTCTGAGAAGTTCTGCAAAAAAGAAATCTGTCTTCACATGAAAGCTTACAGACTTACCTGAATGCACAATCTCCCCAATCCCCTTTCTTTCCTAGCAGATAGATCACAAGTCAACATCTCACCATGAGGAAGGTAAGAGCCAACAAGGGATCGTACTGGCAAAATGCTTTTGAAGGACATGGCCACCTACAGTTCCCAAAAGTGGATCTCTGGGCCACACACATCCAGGGGCCAGCCTTACCCCCACCCCCACATCACTACCATGCTGGCACCCAGGCTGGTTTAACTGCTTTCTTTTCATATAGAGGAAACTGAGGCCCAAAGAGAGTGAGTAACTGAGTGAGCAGATTCAGGGCTGGACCAGTGGTTTCTGAAGTCAAGACATTATAAATGGAAGTAGAATGTGGACTCTTTCTGGCCTGGTAATTTTCTACATTTCATTTATTAGGTTATATTTCTCATTACTTAAATAATAAAAGACAGTGCTGCTTCAGGATCCATTTCGTGAACGTAAGCTGTAGCTGGAGAAAACAAGAGGTTTCCTCTACAGCAATTATCATAAAAATACATTGTCATAGTATTAAATCAAAGCTTAAAAATGATCTAATTAAAGTTAATGAAGGAACAAAATATTTCGTTTTCTGGCACTTATGAAGGTAAGAATAATTAAAAGGAGAATTCATTCACATATTCAGTTGCAAAGATACATGTGTCGGATGGCTTTGGAGATGACTGATTATAAAGTATATCTCTTGAAAACAAGATATGATTCTACTTTATAACTAAGGAAAGGGACAACAGCTCCTAGGAGCTGGGTTTTGGGTTTGTTTTTGTTATTTTTTTTACTATACTACTAAATAAAAAAACAAAACAGGTCTACCATGCCCCTTTTCTCTCTCCTCTGCTTGAAAATGCCTGCCGGCCTTCCAGGGCTAGCTCACAAGGCATCTCGTCTGAGAAGCTGTCCTCCAATCTTTCACGGTTGTTGTGGCCCCTCGTACCGAAGGTGCTATGTTCACTTCTCTATAAACATCTTTTACCACTGTGGACTGAGTTCATTAAATCCCACTGGTTTCTGAGCAGCGTCTGGCACACAGAGGTCCCTCACCAAATGCTGATGGCAGGCGACCACCAGGGTCAGAAGACTTGGCGAGGCTGATTCCTAAACCAGCCTGCAGCTCAGAAGGGGTCGGGCTAATGGTGGAAGAGGAGGCTGGAAACTAGACACGTGCACAGAGCCAAATGCAGGAAATGTCATCCTAGGTGATCGTGGCCTTTAAAAACACCTTTTCAGTAAGAATCTTTGGCTACTTACAATGACTCCATCACTTCTCATCTTAAATAGAAAATTTCTCCTAATCTCTGGCCTTTGTATAGCAGAGAGACCTGGAAAAGCTTAGAAAAGGTCCTCCTTCTAACAGATTTTTTTTCTTTAAATGAATCAGAGACAAAGCAATTGAGTTTAGCTCCCAATGTATAAAAATAACTTGTGATGTCACTTCCAAGTTGGGCAAAATTCCTCATCACAAATGTTCGATATGTGTAGCCAGGATACAAGATAAAAGTAAAATCCAGAAAGCTAAGCAGCTTTCAGAATAGATCTTAAATAAGAAAAAATATTGCTATCAGATTGTTTAAAGGTCTTGCAGCATGATGTACGATAATTTCCTAAGAAAGCTATGGAAATGTCTGCCAAGAGAAAAAAAAAAAGCCAGTAAAAGGGAACTGGTTAAATGGAACATGGTAAATCCACAGAAAGGAATACTCTGTAACCACTAAAATGATGTCACAGAGGATTGTTTTATCAACTCTGTTCAACGGAAAAGTTACAATACTGTATTTGGGACATAAGCCCATTTAAACAAAATATATGTATACTTACATCAAATTGTTTTGGTTTTTTTTTTGAGATGGAGTCTCGCTCTGTCACCTGAGCTAGAGTGCCATGGTGTCAGCCTAGCTCACAGCAACCTCAAACTCCTGGGCTCAAGCGATTCTCCTGCCTCAGCCTCCAGAGTAACTGAGATTACAGGTGTGTGCCATCACACCTGGCTAATTTTTCTCTTTTAGTACAGATGGCGTTTTGCTCTTGCTCAGGCTGGTCTCAAACTCCTGACTTCAAGCAATCCTCCTGCTTCAGCCTCCCAGAGTGCTAGGATCACAGGCATGAGCCACCTTGCCCGGCCACCAAATTGTTAACCACAATTATCTCTGGGGATTAGCAATGTGTGTGATTTTTCTTTCTTTCTTTCTTGCCTGTGTGTTTTCTTAATTTTAATGAAGAATGTGTGTATTACTTTTTGAATACCAAAAATATTTTAAAGGATTTTTGGTTGTTTGTTTTAAAGTCTGTTGAGTACCTCTTACAATTAGCCAATATTTGGCAAGCTCTTCCTGCAAAGGCAGGGCAAAAACAGGGTGAAAACAGGACAAATATGATGAAACAATAACTGGAAGCAGGGGTAGATGAGGAAAGGATGTCACATTAACTGACGTCACATATTTTTCACACAGCATCTTACTAAACTGTTCAGTCCTCAAATCCAATCCTCTGAATGTCGTCTCTAATAAAGCTTTTAAGAAAATGCTATTAATACCACAGAGTAGTTATGGGCAAGGAATCCCATAACAAAGGAAACAAGTCAGTATTCAGGTAAATGGAAATTCTATTCTCTAAACAGAACACAGATTGGCTTCTAAAATTCTCTTAGCTCATCTTTGATACACTATGCAGGGCTCTTTTCTCCAACTGCTTTTTTCTAGGGTGGTGGATGGAGTCTCCCTATGTTGCCCAGGCTGGTCTCCAACTCCTGGGCTCAAGCGATCCTCCAGCCTCAGCCTCTAGAGTAGCTGGGACTTTAGGCCCACTCCCTGCTCTCTCCAACTGCTTTGACTGTCCGCGCCTTCTCTGTGTTTTAGCAAAAATTCTTGGGTCTCTTGCCCACATGTTAATGACCACCAACCATTAAATGTAGAGTCTAAGCAAACAGCCCAGCATCATATAAATGCATTTGAGATTATATTAAATGGATTTCCTTTTCCTAATGACTTCTTGACATTTTATGATTCATCTTTAATTTCTCAGATTCCATCAACGAAGGCAGTAATACCAATCAACATCTGAAAAAATGTGCAGTTTCCAAAGTAGCTTTTACATGATAGCATCTTAAGGCAGGACACCTGTTAGTTCTATCTTATTTTATAGCTAGGAAAATGAAGGTGACATGCAATAGCTTCTAAGTGGCAGAGTATGGCCCCTGTCTACCACTTTTGTCTCTAATAACACTGCCCAAACACTGAGCCCCCAATGGCTGCTGCGTCTCATCTGGGGAGCTTATTAAAAACCTATGGTCTTGGGCAGGAGTCCTTAAACTATGGCCCACGGGCCACATGTGGCCCACCGAGGACATTTATCCAGCCCGCTGGATGTTTTTGCCACAGCTGCCTGTCTTGCTTAGCAGCCGACTTGTCCCGGGCCCACAGTACGCATGTGTGGAAGGTGCACTGCACTCTCCAACGGCCCTCCAATGGTCTGAGAGACAGTGAACTGGCCCCCTGTTTAAAAAGTTTGAGGATCCCTGGTTAGGACTCACCCCAGACCAAATGAGTCAGAAGCTCTGAGGGTGGGGCCTGGGAATGTCACATCTAATAAGCAGCTCAGTGATGCTGAGGTGAAGCTGGGCTCAGAAGCCACCACTAAAAGGTAGGTCAAAAAAAGGGGACTCTGTCTCCTAATCACCCATGGACCCTGACAATATTCCTATGGCACATGAAGGCTTGTCAGGATGAAAGATAAGAAAGACACAGAAGACAAGGAACTGCACACAGTTGCTTCGAAATATCTGACCCTTTGTTACAAGGACCTTTAGTTCTGTCCCCTGCAGAAGTAGTCTGTTCTCTCTACCCCTACACTTACTTGGTCAGGACAATAGAGACCGCATCATTCAGAATACTTTCTCCAAACACCAGCATGTTGAGCACAGGGTCCACGTGGAGTGCGTTGAAAATGGCAATGGTGGCCACCGGATCGACAGCCGAGATCAGGGAGCCAAACGCGAAGCTGCAAGAGACAAGGGCGGGGAAATTCTGAAGCGCGTATCACTTGCGCCACGTATCAAAGCACCAGAGTCAAAGCCTGCATTCAACATAACACAGTAGTACACACTGGCGCTGAAGCAACTACAGCAGATGGTTCTTTTCCCCACTTCTTTGCTAGTGGCGTGGTAAAAGCCCGCTCTGAAATGAGTTGGTTGGAACGGCCTGGTTTTCCACTGTCAGTACTGAGACTGGATTTTGACCAGCGATGGCTGGAAGTATTTTGCTCGGATGCATTACACTCTGCCCAGCCCTCCTGGTCAGAGCAGCTGGAATCAAAACAACCCATGAGCTCCTAGGTCTGACCTCTGCTCTGCCCCTTGCCACCAGGCCATTGGAGTGCCATCTGTGACCAAGCCCTGCCTCCACTCAGATTTGCAAGACCTAAGAAAGTACCAAAAGCCAGCAGCAACGCCAGTGTGCCTCGGGGGATGGGCAGCGTGGGTGGCAGACTCCAACAACAATGCTGTCTCCCAGCCAGGCCGGCTGACCTCACTGACAGCACCCACGAGATCAAGTCACCTCTCGTATGGCCCAGGCACTGTTCAAAGCACTTCGCATACAGTAACTTAACACTCCACACAGCAACTATATAGGAGAGTATTATCACTGCCCCAATGACACAGGGGAAAATTGAGGGACAATGACATCCAGTGACTTGTCTACAGTGACTCAGCTAACAAGTACACGGCCAGAACTCAAGCCCAGGCTATCTGGCCCAGAGTTGGTGTTCTTCAGCCGCGTGGTGGATATAGTGACATCCACAGACTAAGATACATCTGGAAAATGGCCAGTGTGACAGAGGAAATAAACCAGGGTGATGTGAGGAACAGTAACCTGGTGGAGGAGCGGGTGGGAGCCCGGGAGGGGGGGCAGTCAGGAAAAGCCTCTGAAGAGGTGACACATTTGAGCAAGAACCTACATGACAAACAGCAGCCAGCTAAGCCAAAGCCTGGGAGCAGGGTGACAGCAAGTGAGCCCTGAGGTGGGAGCAAGTTTGGCTGCCAAGAAACAAGAAGGAGATGCTTGTGGTGGCAGGGGGCAGGGGCAGGGAGACGAGTGACAGGCCCCAGCTCCCTGGAGGGGCCTTGTGAGGACTCTGGATGGCTCATTCTCTCAGCTCCGTTGGTTTGTCATCTTCCGCCTTGGCATTCTCACAAGCCTCTTTTCCCTCAACCGCCATGCCGGGCATGGCTTTCGAATGGGGGGTCTGCCCCCTTCTACACCACCAGACACAACACAGAGCCCCACGGGCACAGCCTGCACCAGTCATAAGCCAGAGACCCTGCCCTGGGCCTCCCAGGCTCGCCAGGCTCCGGTGGGAGGGAAGAGGACCCAGCCCCGAGCAGCCTGCGATGGACGGACCGTGTGACTCCAGGGTCAGGGAGAGGAGCGCTGGCTGCAGGGAACGCCTGGCTGCCATGCCAGTCACGGCTCTCTTTGTAAATCTATCATTTGGCCTCTGGTTTCCATGGTAACTCCCTGTGAATGTAATAAATGTGAATTCATTTGGGAGGGCCTCGGGATCCCAGGCTGAGGACCTGACCCCACAAGATGGTCTCCCTCAGACCTGCGTTCCCAGATTTCACCTGTCCCCACAGAAGTTATCACATCAACGTGTGCCCCAGGGGGCAGACGCCGTGTTCCCATCATGGGTGTGCTCCCAGGATCCATACTGGGCGTGGCCCAGAGACACCTGCAGAAGGCAGGCAGGCAGGGGGGAAGGGGCAGGGAGGGAGGGTAACTCCACCAAACAACTGTGCACCTGGGAGGCCCTATTTTGCTAGCAGCTGGTCCTCAGGCCCTGGCACTGCAGCCCAGACACAGAGCTGCTTGTCTCTCCTTCTTTTATCCTCACTCTCATCAACCACGGCAGCATCACAAGGGGCCATGACGGAAGAAGGACATCTGCAGAATGTGCCCTGAAATGGCCTCTGTCCATTTCCACGCAGAGCACAGGAGGGTGGACGGCCACAGTTCTCCCTACTCAGCGCCCACACGCCCGGTCATGGTGATAGCACCCAAATTTTCCTCTGGGTAGCCACACCCCCTCCCACTCTCCATCCTTGCTGTCACATGGGGTTCTAGGTGTGGGCAGGGGGCCAGAGCTTGGTCACTCAGGGTCATTGTCAGTCATTTTACCAGTTACAGGGAACGGGTTGGCCCTTTAGGCAGGGATGGCTGAAGTGACAGTGACGTAGGCCTGGAGCCATCAGAGCTGCCATGAGGGGCGAGTGTGGGAAGGATGAAGCCAATCAGGGTAGAGCTGAGCTGAGACCCAGTGAGAGGAGAGATGCTCAACATCGAGGCCCGGGGAGGCTGTTGTGCCAGAAGCCATCACCCTGGGGACACTTCAGCTCTACAAGCCAACAAACTTTTTTTTTTTTGCTTAAACTAGTTTGTGTTGTGTTTAAGTTGCAGTGAAAGAGGAGGCCTGGCCGATGAACTTTGTTACAATCTTCTGCACATTTCCTGAACTGGAAAGGAGATAGCAGGAACTAGCAGATAAACTGATGAATGGAGAGCGGACCGACAGATGGAAACATACACGTCAAGGCAAACACAGCAAGATGGTAATCACAGAATCTAGGTGGTGGTCACATGGGTGTTCACTGTACAAGGCTGCAGCTTTTCTGTATGTTTGAAATTTTTCGACATAAAATGTTGCGGGGGAAATGCTTTGTATAAATCATATAACACATTTAGCTTTGACTGTGAATCTAAATTGAGCCAGAGTATTTCTGACAGTGAATACAAAGTCTGAAATACAAACTCCTGCATCATGGAGGTCTGCATCTAAGGAGTCACGTAACCTGACCATGACATCATGGCCAGTCCTTTGAAAGGCTAGAAGCTAGAAGTTCAACTTAAAAATGTATCTTCTTTATTCTGTCACGCCAAAAGATAGCAACAGTTACAAAATAAAAATGAAATAGACTAGGATAGTGAAACAATGAAAGGCACTCAAGAGTGAAATCTCTCTCCCGCAGAAATATCACTAAAATAAAATCTGTGCAACAAGTCATTTTTATGTTTTGTATAGTGCAGAGATTGCAAAGGTGGTCTGTGGTGCTCATGTTTAGCCTGCATGGTGTTTTTGAAAAATTGAGCAAGTTATCAGCGTTTAAAAATGGAACGATTTTCCAGAAAAACCTAGAAACCTGGCCACTTTTGAAAAAAATTACTTTATCTAGTAATTCTGGGCCTATATTTCCACATGGTGATTATTAGGTGGAGGTAAGGCGTGGCTTCCCTTTCTGGCAGAATGCACTCTCCTGTTGGCCACTGTCCCATCCCTAGACTCACACCTGGCCGGCTTCCCTCTGTTGAGTGCTCTGCCAGGCCCTGCAGCTGTGTGGGTTTGCCACCCAGAGCAGCCCCTGTCTGTGGACAGTCACTATCTAACAGCAGAAAAAGTATCTGCACATGGAGAGAGAAACCTTAGCTGGCTTTCAGTCAGCTTGTCTACGGGCAATTCTTTTCCTTTCTGCACCTAGACACCCCAAGTCAATTTCACAAACATTTATCCAGCATCATCTGTATCTCTAACCAATTGCCTCCCAAATAATTTGGTGAAGGTTGGAATGCTGTGACACCTTCCTTGAGGTCAACTGGGTTTAGGACATTTCTTTTCACTTGCAAAATACCTGTAAAACACGTGGTATCAGTTCTGCTTTATTTTCAGCTCCTATGGAAGAGGCATGTGACTTGTTTATATATCAAAACTGTCTTACAACAAAAGCTCCAAAATTTATGTCCTGGGCAAGGGAGGGTGATGAGTGGAGGTAGGAATGGGATTGGACTTGTTAACCGAGGCATGTATCCCATGAAAACGGTTCCAGGATACTAGTCCTAAGTTGCTAAGTTGCTGCTAAAGCCTGAAAGCTCTGGCTGGCCCCATGGAAAGGGCCTGGGTGGGGCTCACTGTGTGGCCCCACTGCCCAGCTCCCCAACTGGGCCACAAGACCAGACCAAGCCAAGCACTGATGGTGGACGTGGACACATGGAGCAAGGCTGCATACTCTCAGTGTGGTCAAACCAGGCTGCGTTCTGCTTGAGCACTTTTCAGCACTAGATCTAGTACCTTCTGAGATAGCTGCCTTGGTTGCTTCTCACTAAGATATTATAGAAACTCCTAGGTGGGCCTCCTAGACAGCAGCTCACTGGGGAATGCTCACGGGGGAGCTGCGATTGAAGGGAGTATTCAAAATAGAGCCCTTGGCCCTGCCTTCAGTCCCCCACTCCAAGCTCACCCCAGACTTGGTGGGAATCTCAGAGTAAACATTTCTCGCTCCCTTTATCTCTCAAGAAGACAGCTTTTTACTATGGCTATTGAAAAGACTTAGAAATATTAAAAGGACAATAGAACAGGGCACGTTGCATGTACGGACAGGGAAGTTAGCAGATCGGAGTCACTCCCTCTAAAGCTTAAGCTAAATCGATCACTGCAACCAACAATGCTCTGACTCGGGATCTTTAAAAGTCTTTAACATAGTTTTGATTCATTTCAGAGACATAAATTAATTCAGAATAGATTCTATAGCAGAAATCCTTAGCACAAATAAATAAGAGAGAGAGAGAGAGAGAGAGAGAGAGAGAGAGAGAGAGAGAGAGAGAATAGAGAAGTAGCACACCCAGAAAGCAATGTGGAGAAAACTTTCCCCAGTCTGAAAAGCAGTCACATGGATGTTACAGTATGAAGGATTTACCTGTCTGTCATGTTGAGTTTAGAGATTACATCAGCCTGTAAAATAAAACACACAAACACACAGACACAAAAAAAACCCCTGGAGAACAGCCAAGAAGATTAAAATGTCCATTAGTGCTTCATTAAAACTAATAAGGACATTAATCTTCAGTCCCCAAACCACTTAAAAAATAAAGAAAACTAAGTCTTAGTTTAAGCATGCATTCGATCATCATACAATAAAAGTATGGAAAAGAAGGCTACATTTATCAAGCCCAATTAATGGAAATTTTCTTCTCAAGAGTTTATTTCTCTGTGATACTAGACGCTGAGCAAAGAACAAAGTTGCATGACAGACAGATTTATTCTGGTGCCATTGAGGCAGGAATAAAGGTAGAAATCAGATGGAATGGGCTTTAGCTATAAAGAGAAGAACAGCTGACATGTGTAAGAGAAATCTGCTGGTCACCCTGATGCCTGACACTCGCTTAGTTTTCAGAAGTGGGGCAGGCAAACTCTCTGCAACTGGGAATAAAGGAAAAGAACTGTGACATGCGTGGACATGCATAATGCAAAACTACAGCTACTGCCTTCCTAGGGGATGTTTGGTCTACATTAATTCAAATTAAAGGCCAAAGTACAGAACACCCCATTGATGCCACTGGGAAGTGGGTTAGCATTGGTAGAAAATCCAGAGTCTATAATTCTATAGGTAGACAGCTTAGAATTGAGTGAACAGAGTCAGAATCGTTGATTTTAAAATGTAAATTTTTATTAAAAAACAGCATTCAACCCCAATTCAGTCTATCTGACAACACAGCTGATATTGCTATAATCTGAAGTTATTGATGCTGTATATTCGGCTTTATTTTTTGGTATTCCAATTTAAGACAGTATTAGTTTGCAAATAAGCTCAAATACTTTTGTGGATTATGGAAAAGATTCACTCAATTCCAGACACCAAAGTTCTTGGAGGACACTAAGAAACAATTTAACATGCCTTTATTGGGCCTCAGGTGAAGCTGGGCTTTCCTTCCAGGAGGGCATTTTACCCTGAAAGGGAAACCCAGGCCCCGTGAGGTGTTCCTACCCCACCTCCCTGCACTGGCTCAAAGAATATAAGATTTTAAAAAATGTTTTTCTTACCTGACCCAAAAAATAAATTCCTCCACCTACTACAAAAGCAGAGATCGCCGTACCAAAAACAGCAAACAGGGTGATGGAGCCAATATTTTGAAAGAAGTTACCCTGTTTAAAACAGTAGAAATCAGAGAACTGATTAGAAAAGCCGGTCCTGTCAGTGAAGTCACGACCCACACACCCGGCCCTCCCAGCAGGCGCCACCACCTGCCCTGCTTGGCCAGCTGGAAACCTGGGAGTCTCCCTGCGTCCCCAACTGCTTCAGCGTCCCCTGTCCCTCATGTCATCTCTCACCTAGACCACTGCACAGCTTCTCACAAGTCTCCTCAGCCCTTCCTGGCCCCTTTCCCTCCACTCTCCAAGTATTTCCAGAATGATCTTTGCAAAACACAAATCTGTGCTGCCTTCCCCCTAAGCCCCTAGCGCAGATGACACCCACTCGGGTTGGCTCAACCTCTGGGAAGACCCCCAACCTCATCTGGCACCACAGTCCCTTTTGTTCTCTGGGATCCAGCCACACTGGCAGCTTCGAGCAGGTGCTGCCTCTTTGCTCGGTGAATTTTAATCATCCTAAAATCTCAGGGCATTTCAACTCTTCCTGAGAGAAGCCTTCCCTGATCCCTTAACCAGTTCCCAGCTCAGATCCTGGACCATGCTCTCAGTGCACAAGGACCCTCTCCCGTAGCACCTGACACAGCTGTAATTTCACATTTACTTAGGTAACTATTTGATGGATGTCTGTCTTTCCCACAGGCTGCAGGCTCAGGGGAACCATGACCACATGTGCTTGCGCACAGCACAGTCAATGCCACACAGCCTGTCAGATGGAAGATGCCCAATAAACAGGTACTGAAGAAATTAACTGTGCTTCATGTCTGGTCAAAGTCCAAAGTCTATACAATTATAATTTTTCCTTTAATTAAGAAAAGGTGCATTATTATAAAAAATATCAAGATAATAGTTTATACTATCAGAATCTTCTTTTTGTTGTCCAGGTCTTTTAAACAATTTTATTTCACTCTCTTAGTATCATCATTGAACATGATAGATGAAATATGTTTCCGTCTCTACTTCACAGCATTTAAGAGAAAATACCCAAGCCCAAGCAGCATGGTAACATATTTCAAATTTCCATAAAATTAAGGAAATTAAGCTGTTCATGAGAACCTTAATAAATCAGGACACCACTTAGGAACCACCACCGGCTTTGATCACCCTTGATTATGGGTGTGGACTAGAGTAACATCTTCCTAAATGGGATCACATCAAGCTAAAGAGCTTCTGCACAGCAAAGGAAACAATCAAAAACGGGAGGAGACAACCCACAGAATGGGAGAAAATACTTGCAAACTACCCATCTGACAAATGATTAATAACTAGAATATACAAGGAGCTCCAGCAACTCAACAGGAAAAAAAATCAAATAATCTGATTAAAAAACAGGCAAAGGATGTGAATAGACATTTCTTAAAAGAACACATACAAATGGCCAATAGGTATGTGAAAAAATCCTCAACATCATTAGTCATCAGGGAAATGCAAGTCAAAACTACCATATCATCTCACCCCAGTTACAATGGCTTTTATCAAAAAGACAGGCAATAACAAACTCTGGCAAGGATGTAAACAAAGGGGAACTTTCATACATTGTTGGTGGGAATGTAAATTAGTGCAACCTATGGAGAACAGTATGGAGGTTCCCAAAAAAACTAAAAATAGAACTACCATATGACCCAGCAATCCCACTGCTGGCTATATATCCAAAGGAAGGGAATTCAGTATATTAAAAAGATATCTGGGCTGGCCGTGGTGGCTCACGCCCGTAATCCTAGCACTCTGGGAGGCCAAGGTGGGAGGATCGATCAAGGTCAGGAGTTCGAAACCATCTTGAGCAAGAGCGAGACCCCGTCTCTACTATAAATAGAAATAAATTAATTGGCCAACTAATATATATATAGAAACAATTAGCCGGGCATGGTGGTGCATGTCTGTAGTCCCAGCTACTCAGGAGGCTGAGGCAGAAGGATTGCTTGAGCCTAGGAGTTTGAGAGCTAGGCTGACGCCACGGCACTCTAGCAGGGGCAACAGTAAGACTCTGTCTCAAAAAAAAAAAAAAAGATATTTGCATTCTCATGTTTATTGCAGTACTTTTCACAATAGCCAAGATTTGGAATCAACCTAGTGTCCATGAACAGATGAATGGGTAAAGAAATTGGGGTACATATACACAATAGAATATTATATAGCCACAAAAGAATAAAATCCTGTCATTTGCAACAACATGGATGGAACTGCAGAATATTGTGTTAAGTGCAATAGGCCAAGAACAGAAAAATCTCCTATGTTCTCACTCACATGTGGGAGCTAAATATCGAAAACAATTGACCTCCTGAAAACAGAGAGTAGAATGGTGGTTGCCAGAGGCTGGGAAGGGTAGCAGAGAGAGGTGGATAAAGTGGGGATGGCTAGGGGGTGCAAAAATATAGTTAGAGATAGATAGAATGAACAATATTTTATAGCACAACAAAGTGACTATAACCAACAAGTTATGGTAAACTTTAAAATAACTAACAGAGTGAAACTGAAATGTTCCTAACACAAAGAAATGATAAATGCCTGAGGTGATGGATGCCCCAATTACCCTGATTTGATTCACATTGTATTCCTGTATCAAAACATCATATGTACCCTACAAAAACATACAAGTATTTTGTACCAATAATAATAATAATAATAAAAGAATCCCATCTTTCACTCAGAAATTGTCACGCCAGGGACATCAGGACCTGCTATTTTAAAGCTCACTTCAAAAAGAGTATCCTCATCCCAACACCGACTGCTCCAATAAGCCTATCTCCTTCAGGAAGTATCTTTGCAATTTTGATTTGGCTGCCCATAATCTGACATTTAATTCCTTTGTTTGGCATATCTATCTTTAGTGCACAAAGAATTTTAAAATAACTCAAGGCTAACACATGATTTGTTTTTCCTAAACAAAGGCTTTCATCTCTGAGTTTCTTTGCAAATAGCTGCTTTATTTTGTTATTTAAAAATAGATTGATCACCGGCCAGAGAGCGAGCGCGCAGCAGCGGCCGCGACCCCTCCGCTCCCCCGGCCAGGCCAAAAAAAAAAAAAAATAGATTGATCAGTTTTGGTCTGTTTGCAGGGATCTAATTCTGATATAAGTTATGTGCCTGGTTAATATTAATACGGATACTGCAAATTTACCCAAATTCAAGTTACCACATTACAAGAACTTCCACCTACTGTATAAAGCAAATTTATCTATTTCTCTCTGACATAATTAACATCCTATTCTTTATATGATATTTACAATAGCTGCCTACTTAAGGCATACTGACTGATGATGATCTTACCGAAATTTGTATTCAAGCTCCAAATTTACATTAGCAAATACAGCAATATTAAAATAAAACATTCAAAGCCAATTTTCTATCTTCCTTAGGGAAGGGCAGGGAGTGGACAAGGGCCTCTGAATTGGCATTTCCAACTCCCATCAGTCCCTTTCTCATAAATTTTCATATTTTCTGTTGGAATGTCATCTTCAAAGAAATGTTTTTCTAAGACACTATTATTTCCCTCAAATTTTGAACAAATTTCTCTCCTCTCCCTACAAAACAATTAGAAAATAAAAACTTCACATGATCTAATATAATATTCAAAATGTCATAATTAAATCAATTTCCTTCACATTGTTTTGAAATATTTCCATAATCTACTTACAGTTCTTTTAAGATTTGTTTACAAAAGGCAAGAGTAAAAGATGTTGACCTTCAATTTCTTTTTGTTTCTTTTCTTTTTAACAACTGTCTAATATCAGTATCAGTTTTGTAAGACTTAGGAATTTTTTTTACATTAAACATCCTTTTTACCTTTTCTTTGGATAGATGTGCAATAAAATAACAACTTATAAAAAAAATCTGGACTGAACATCTTAGAATATTTTTGTTTTAGTGCCCAGGTAGAAAATTAAAGATTTAATTAGTATGTTTTTTATCAAAACTCTCTTGACAAATTTAAGTCTTTTTTTTTTTTTTTTTTTGAGACAGAGTCTCGCTTTGTTGCCCAGGCTAGAGTGAGTGCCGTGGCGTCAGCCTAGCTCACAGCAACCTCAAACTCCTGGGCTCAAGCAATCCTCCTGCCTCAGCCTCCCGAGTAGATGGGACTACAGGCATGCGCCACCATGCCCAGCTAATTTTTTCTACATATATTAGTTGGCCAATTAATTTGTTTCTATTTTTTTTATAGTAGAGATGGGGTCTCGCTCAGGCTGGTTTTGAACTCCTGACCTTGAGCAATCCGCCAGCCTTGGCCACCCAGAGTGCTAGGATTACAGGCGTGAGCCACCGCGCCCGGCCCAAATTTAAGTCTTAAGTTTAGTAAGTTATTACTACTAATAATAATATTAATATTATTAATAATAGATAATAATATTATTATTCGTATTGACCAGAAGCAGCACTCCATTTAGTTAGTGTGGTGGGTGGTGCTTTGCCTCCATTCTTTCACCTAGTGTAAATCTCACAGCAAGCTGGGAGGTAGGGTTTGGTGGGGTTTTATCAATAATTTCTACTCTACCAAATAGGAAACTGTAGGGGGCAGCACATGACCAGCCCTCTGCCTCCCCGGCTCCGAAGTCCAGGCTCTTTGCTTTCTCCAAGGGCTGATTTAACTTTTGTTCTTCCAACCTTCACAATTTTTAAAAAATCACATTCACAAAATAACTGTTGCATCACTAACATGCTAAGTTGAATCGCCTTATTTTAAGACTTAAATACATTTGTATTTAAAGAAAACTCACAGACAAGGAAAAAAACACATACACACACAGAGACAGGTTTAAAAGTGAGAAGTTCCTGCCAAGTCCGAAAGAGCCACACTGAGGGTTGAAAGGCAGAGGCCAGCAAGGCTGAGACAAAGAAGTAGACAGAGGCCAGTGACACTGACACCCAGAAAGCTAGGGAGGCAGGAATGGGTGCAGCAGCTCTGGGGCTAGGTGGGGAAGGATGGGGCTCCAGCCTGGGAGGGAGAGGTGGGGCCAGGGAGAGGGTGGAAGAGATGGAGGCTGGGAGATGAAAGAGACGAAGGTTAGCTGGGGGCTGAGGCCCAGGGAAGGATAGACAGACCCAAGGAGGCTGAGAGGCCCCGTGAGCTGAGAAGCAAATGTGCCATTCTCTGTCATCCCAGGACACAGTCTGTCCTCTTAACATGTGTCAGTCTGTGTCCAACAAGAGGAGTCAGTGTATTGTTCATATACATTGTCACTCAAAATCACTTTGGCCATCTTGCTAGGCAAAGTATCCCTCTGTGGAAAACACTGGCTCCATGAGCCAAACTGCCTGAAACAATTAAAGCAGCCGGTGGATCACGTTTGCCCCTCTGCAGAAGGCAGGCACTGCAGTCCAGCTTCCACCGTGCAGGCCCAGGAAGCGACAGAGCCGCTGCTGCTAAATTCACACCCCGGCTTTTATCAAACTTGCCTCAGGAACATTAGAAACATCAGAGAAGCACGAATGTGTGCCTGAGTCTCACCTTGTGTAACGAATATCCAGACTCAAAGATAATGGGTGGCAGCAAGAGCAGGAAAAACATATTTGGACGAAACATTTCTTCTTCCTATAAATAAAAATTGGGTATTTTCAGAGACATGGAATTTATCTAATTAAGAAATAAATTCATCGATGAAGAGTCAAAACAGTTATTCTCTCAGGGCTTAGCCCAGTGGAAATGTATAATGTTTAAGTGACTAACACCAAGCAGGAGAGATACACACACACACAAAATTAAACTGCATTTTAAAATGTAGGATAAGAGATTTTAAAAGGTGACCAACAGAAGAAAGAGCACAATGAATTGCTTCCAAACACATAGTAATATGCTTTTTATTCCTTAGTAAGAAAAAGAAACTAATTTTAATATAGAAAATTTCAAATCAGATAGGACATTTTCAAAAACAAGTATACAAATTGGATTCCTCCAGGAAAAAAGTAATGGTAAGCCAAAAAAAAAAAAAAAAAAAATCCACTCAGAGAAGAGTTAACCATATACACACAGTTAAAATGGCTCTGCCTTCTTTCTGCTTGTCAAAGACAATGCTTCCATCTTCCTAAGTCTGACTGTGATGAAACAGTCCCCACCTGATACCCTTGCAAGCTGGATGTGGCTATAGAGAGAGCCGCCTATCATGTGTCCTAGTCTATTGTATGTTGCTACAGAGGGGTGCTTGATGCTAGGTAATTTACAAAAGAAAAAGGTTTATTTGGCTCACAATTCTGCTGTCTGGAAAAGTTCAAGATTGGGTATCTGGTGAGGGCCTCAGACTGCTTCCACCCATGGTGGAAAGCTAAGGGGAGAGATCACGTGGCAAGAGAGAAACAAGAGGGAGAGAGGTGAGGGGAGGCAGGGGATGCCAGGATCTTTTTAACAACCAGCTCTCAAGGGACCTAATAGAGTGAGAATTTACTCCCAAGGGAGGGCATTAATCTATTCATGAGAGATCTGCCCCAATGACCCAAACATCTCCCATTAGGCCCCACCTCCAACATTAGGATGGAATTTCAACATGAGGTTTGCAAGGGAAAAACATCCAAACCACAATACCATGCTTTCAGATTTGAATATTAAGTGCCATTAGGAAAGGTATTCCTAGAATACAGCCATCTCTGGGGAGGGGGGGGGGGATGAAACAATGAGAATTTTATTTTCTATATTAATATATCTCTTTAGTTGTTGACAGAATTTAGGGAAAATACATATTGGTTCTCAAGCCCAAATGGCTACATGTAATACATGGTCTATTTAAAACTGCAAAATCAGGCCCTTTTTCATGTGAATATTTCCATGTCCCAATCTCAACCGTCCGATTTCTTATCAAAATCTCTATTCAAAAGAATGCCTAAATGTATTCTTACAAATGTACAGCTGTCACCTTTATGACTAAAATAACATTCAAAAAAGGCTGAAAATAGAAGCAAATGATGATTTCTGAAATGCCTTATTAAGTCTTAAAATAACAGCATGTACAAGCTCCTGCCTCAGACTGGGACTATATAGAAAGAAATGGGCTGAGCTCTACATTTCATGGGGCAATCTATTCTCAGGATCCGTGCAGTAGGACCACTGTACAGATCCTTTTGGACTTTCAAAAACTAAACCCCCTGGGAAAAGGAGAACCCACCTGTAGTGGGGTTGCACAGTGTACCCCATCCCCACCTGCCCCAGTTCATATCCACTAGGAACCTCAGAATGTGACCTCATTTGGAAGTAAGTCAAATCAAACAAAATATGTACACATCAAGACTTATCTACACATCAGGATATATCCAGCCTAGGAGTGGAGAATGGGTTTCCAGTCTGTGACCCTGCCCTAGAGGGACCCACTCTCAGGGTGCTTCAATTCAAGCAAATTGAAGGAACCCACACGCCCTGTGCTCCAGGGTGGCCTGCCCAGCCTCCTCCTCTACTCTCTCCCCAGCTGAGGGAGTTCTATCAATGTTAGGAGCTCAATGCACGGTGTTTTTGAGAACTCATTTAATACATAGAGTATTTCATGACTATTATTTGGAACAGTTTCAAATTGTGTTTTAGCTCAGACTATGAGCCTTCTTTTGCGAATTTTACAACCTATGGTTTCACAGATAAATTAACCTAGGAGCTGCATCAAATTAAGAGGGGATCCAACGTGATAAATTCTAGCCGCATAATTATTGTTTTGAAATGAACCTTATTTCTCTCCAAAAATCAATTTTGTAACATTCTACTCAATATGAATGCTCAAGTTGAAATTCGAGTTTCAAGTAGTCCTCACACCCCAAAGTGATGCTCACACCCTAATAACCACTGTGTAAACACAAGCGGGTGTATTCATACATCAGCAAACTGAGGACAGCATGATGTGATGGAGGAATACTGCATACACAGGACCAGGAGGTCTGGACAGAAGACTCAACTCAGCTACTTTGTTTGCAGCTCTGACATAGATATGTCCCATGCTCTCTGAGTGCCACTTTCTTCATCTATAAAAACAGGTGGAGGCCGGGCGAGGTGGCTCACGCCTGTAATCCTAGCTCTTGGGAGGCCGAGGCGGGCGGATTGCTCAAGGTCAGGAGTTCAAAACCAGCCTGAGCAAGAGCGAGACCCCGTCTCTACTATAAATAGAAAGAAATTAATTGGCCAACTGATATATATATGTAAAAAATTAGCTGGGCATGGTGGCACATGCCTGTAGTCCCAGCTACTCGGGAGGCTGAGGCAGCAGGATTGCTTGAGCCCAGGAGTTTGAGGTTGCTGTGAGCTAGGCTGACGCCATGGCACTCACTCTAGCCTGGGCAACAAAGCAAGACGCTGTCTCAAAAAAAAAAAAAAAAAAAAAAAAAAACAGGTGGTGATAACACCTGGTCAATCTCCCTCACATGGCTGTCATGAGGACAACACGAGCTAAAGTATATAAAGCACTCTGTAAGCTCTATAGTACCGGACAAATATGTTTTATTGTCCTCAGCTATCAGAATGAAATTGGGAGCAATAAACATTATTTAATGTTTAATGCTAATTAAAGTCTTTTCTCCACCTAATAAAGTAGGATAGTCTAGGGTTATAAAAATACAAATAACAACAAAACATGACATTGAGTGCTCCGATGTTCACTTGAAACAGTGTGAGATTTATGCTTTTTGCAAAAACTCAGATGTAAAGATATCAACCTGGATCCAATATGATGTTAAAAAATTAAGGGGAGAACATAAACAACTCCACTGAAAGTCAATTAATGATAAGAAAGCCAGCATAACCATCAATGTTACTAAAATTAAGAACAACCAAAAATTATGTTTATGTTAAAAACGAACAGTTGGGCAAACATACCTTCCAATTTGCCAGTTTTTTAAACTCTATAATTTTTATAACTGCTCCCATGAGAATACCTAAAAGAGAAAACATAAAGTTTAACATAAATTTAAGATATGAGAAAGATTACTCAGGTTTATTATTCTCGAAAAACTGAATACTATTCATTATGTCTATAAATGGTTTTTATAGAATCCTGCTGGTTTCACATCTAAAAACATAAGAATGGGAATTAGTTTTGAGTCACATGAGTCTCTCTCATTTGGATCTCAGGCAAACACACCATAATGAAGTCTACAAAAGTCTGAGGAGAAGAAAGAGCTTTACAAAGTAAGACCCCCAGACACCATGGCTGGCGTGGAAGATTTAATGCCTGTATTTCTGCTACCTCCATCCATTTTCAATGTGAGGTGGCAGAGAGTTTACAAGCTAAGTTCACCCTGTATTGTTTATTCCTCCCATTTTCAAAAAAGAATCCACAATCACTTTCTCAGACTCAGATGGCAGCGCTACGCCAAATATTTAGTTAGAGATAAAACCCAAATGCCAAAAATAACCTAAAGTAAAAGTTCTGTGAAATTCCTGGAAGAAAACAGACCATCTAAGTTCAGGCATGTTTCTATTAAGCTGACAGGCTCATCATTCTCTCATAAGGCACCACCAAAAATAATTCCCAAAGAAACAGCATGGGTATAATTTATGATTGCTCTGCTACTCACTAGATAAATGACTCTTACCCCCCCCCAATGGTTCATGAGAATCACAGTGGAGGCTTTTTATAAATTAAAGACACCCAAGCAGAACTCTAGACCTACCCAATCACAATGTCTGGTAGGGGGTGACACAAAGCAAGCCTGCAGACAACTGCCATAGATGCTTCAAGTTGCAGGCTTCCCTGCTTTCCTACAGAGGAAGGGGCTCTCCCCACCAAGAGAAGGCTGAAGAAATACACCTTATTGGGTGGGGCAGGAGACAATACCAGAACATAAAAATTTAACAGGATGAGGATCTGTACTAACGCTAATTACTGGCGGGTGGTGGGGAGTGGGTAGTCTGAGGGGAACAGAGGAGGTAAGTTCATTTTAACTTTATGAAGCTTTTTACTATTAGTATTATTATATATTAGTAAAACAATAATAAAATTATTTTGAAAAAGAGAAAGGGACCAAGCTAAAATGTAGCTGCGCTATATAAAGGGCATCGATGAACACACTTTCAGAACAGTGCTTGCACACGCACTCGCCAAGGGGCACAAAGCCCGCATTCTAACCTCGCTCCTGCTAGAGTTTCCCAAGAGCTCCTTTTTTCTTATCTTTTCAAATTGTATTTCACATTTTATGGAGTTTTAAACTTTTTATTAGCCAAATAGTTCATGAATACTATGTAAAATGTTATAAATAAGACAAAAGCCCCTTTGGATCATATCCTACCCCAATCTTAGTTCTTTTTCTTCCTGGCCCAAGGTCATAAACCATCTTGATAAGTTTGGGGTAATATTATACCCAACCTGTCTCTATCCTCTTAAATATATGTTGTGTGTGTGTATTTAACCATATAGTACTGGTGTGTGTGTGTGCATATACATGCATGGCATGCCTTAGTGTATTTATATAAAACATGGTATTATAACATATCATTCTACTACTTGCTGTTTTGCTCAATGTTACGTCTTAGCAATCTAATCAGGGATTAATAAATATATATAGATTTGCCCCCATTCCTTTTAGTAGCTCTAGAGCATAGCATAAAAATGTCACAGAAGCAGAGTGTGGTGGTGTGTGCCTGTAGTCCCAGCTACTCGGAAGGCTGAGGCAGGAGGATGACTTGAGCCCAGGAATTTGAGGATGTAATTCACTATGATTGCATCTATGAACAGCCACTGAACTAAAGCCTGGGCAACATAGTGAGACCATGTTACATACACACACACACAAATGCCAGCCAGGCACATAGTGGCTCACGCCTATAATTCTAGCAATCTGAGAGGCCAAGGTGGGAAGATTGCTTGAGGTCAGGAGTTTGAGACTGGCCTGAACAAGAGTAAGACCCCATCTCTACTAAAAATAGTAAAAATTAGCCGGTGTGGTGGCATACGCCTGTAGTCCCAGGTACTCAGGAGGCTGAGGCAAGAGGATCACTTAAGCCCAGGAGCTTGAGGTTGCTGTGAGCTAGGCTGACACTACGGCACTGTGGTCCAGGTGACAGAATGAGACTCTGTCTCACCAAAAAAAAAAAAAAAAAAAGCCACAAAAATTGAATAAATATTTCTCCATAGAAGATACACAAATGGCTACCAAACACATGAAAAGATGCTCAACCTCATAAATCATTAGGGAAGTACAAATCAAAACCACAATGAGATATCACTCCACACCCACTAGGATGGCTATAATTAAATAAATGGAAAATAACAAGCATTGGCAAGGATATAGAGAAATTGGAACCCTTATACACTGCTGATGGGAATGTAAAATGGTGCAACCGCTGTGGAAAACAGTTTGGCAATTCTTCAAAAGTTAAGTAGAGTTACCATATGACCCAGCAAATCCACCCAAGAGAATTGAAAACATATGTTCATGTAAAAACTTGCACGCATAAGTTCATAACAGCATCATTTGTAGCAGTCAAAAGGTGGAAACAACCAGAGTCCATTGGGTAATGAATGAACAAACAAATGTAGTATATCCACACAATGTAATATTATTCAGCAACAAAAGGAATGAAGTACTGATACATGCTGCAACATGGATACATTTTGAAAATATGCCATGTGAAAGAAGCCAGACACAGGATACCACATATTTCACCATTCCATTTATATTAAATATCCAGAATAGATGAATCTATAAGGACAGAAATGGTTGTTTAGGAGTAGGGAGGAGAGGTTTGGGGATGATAGCTAAAGGGTATGGGTTTTCTTTCCAGGGTGATAAAAATGTTCTACAATTGATTGTGATGATGGTTGTACAACACTGTGAATATACTGTGAATAACCATTGAGTTGTACATTTAAAACAGCGAATCACATGGTATAGGAATTATATCTCAATAAAGATGTTGCCAAAAATAAGCACCATCGCTTGTATGATTTCACTGACATGAAACGTCCAGAATAGGCAAATGCATAGAGACAGAAAGTGGATTAGTAGTTTCTAGGAGACATGACAAAGGTGGGGCGCAGAATGGGGAGTGACTGCTTACAGGTATGGGGTTTCTTTTGGGGGTGATGAAAATGTTCTGGATTTAGGGTGATAGTCACATAACCCTGTGAAGATACTAAAAACCACTGAATTATATTCTTTAAAATGATGAAGTTTATGATATGTGAATTATATTTCAATTTTTTAAAAAGTCATAATCTTTTTAACCATTCCCCCACTGACGGCTGTCTCCAACTGTTTGCTACTAACAGTGGTGCTGCAATGAGCATGCTTATACATGCCACTTTGTGTAAAGAGTATTTTTCTAGGGCAGATCCAGAGACTATGAATGGCTGGATTACAAAGCATGAGCATTTTTATCTCTGAAAATGTTGCCAAATTATCCTCCAAAGTGGTTGTAAGGAGTTACACTTCCGCAAGAAAGCGTCCCATATCCTCACCAGCGCTGGGTAATGATCAGATATTAACATTTCTGCCAATATGATGGGCAAGAAATTGTACTTTAAGCTTTCAGTTTGTATTTGACTTAATTTGCATTTAGTAATCATCCTGATTACTAGGGAAGCTGAACCTCTTTCCATGGTTTCGGATTTCATTTTTAAAGCTAGTGTTTTTCTGCTCTACTAGAACCTCAACTTTCTTTTTCCCTTGTAAATGTATGACAAACTTTATTTATTCATTTAGAAGACCAGAAAGGAAGGAGAGGAAAGGGGATGGGAGGGAAGCAGAGGGGAAGAGATGGGAAGAGAGGGATATACCAAACTTCAGTACCATGATTAACACTTTCATAATTATATGTGAAACAGTTACATCTAAAAATCAGTAATTATTCTATTGCCCAAATATGTGTCTATATTATTACTTATGAGGTGCCAGGAAGCTTTGTAAAATAAGATATGATTTTATTATTATTACTTGAGTAATCCTTTTGGGACTGGTCCTAGGACTAACTATAGTGCATCATTAAATTGGCAAACTACTACTTTACCTCTTGAGATTGAGGCTTAAAGTTAGGTAAATCAATCGAAGGTAGGGGAAATTAATTTATATCACACAACTGGCCACCAGATGGAAACAATGCCCTAGATACAATTTTGCATGTTCCTATTAGCAAAAAGAATTCGAGTGTGTACTCTAAGTTAGGCAAATTTTTTTTTTTAATGATATGAAAGTGCTACTATGCTAACATTTTAAATAGACATAAAAAATAGAAATTATAAAAGAGTGAGATTAAGAATAAATACAAGCACAAGTTCTATAATTTTCTTTTGCTGCCAGTTGATCTTTGTGCACACACCTCACCAGGGACACAGCTAGATGCATTCAGAGCATCAGGAGCAATTAACGGTTATTTGTTGAGCCCCTTCTCCCAGGATTTGTCACTTTAAATTATTTCTAATCCTCAAGAGAATGCTGCAGGTAGGAAGGCTCAGAGAGTTTAAGTAGTTTTTCTTGAACTCCTGGCCTCATGCAATCCTCCTGTCTCAGCCTCCTAAAGTGCTAAGATTACAGGCGTGAGCCACTAAGCCAGCTTAAGTAGCTCTTCTGAGGGCTCAGGGCCAACAAGTGATGCTGGCCTGCTGGCTCCTGGGTGCATCCTGCCAGCTCATGAATCTGAACACACTGGGGACGGCACTGCTGCGGTCCATCTGCACCGCGGCTATGAACCACTAATGCTCACTCTCTCCAGAGTGCGCTGCAAGGCTACCATCATCACCGTAAAATGTGAGTATTCCTCAACATTAAGGTTATAGGAAATGCTCAAAATGTATTAATAAGCAGGTTAAAAAACAGTAAATGGAACACAATCCTAGTTCTCTTAAAAATATATATATGCACATACATATATTTATTTGCATTGTGCTAAAAACACACACATACTGTGTGCCGGGCACTCTGCTAATGCGTAAAGTATA